CGCTTCATGCACAAAGTGTATCTGCATGATATGGACTTAATGCTGCAGGCATTTTCTCCCAGTCCCACCTTTGGGTGATGCAGAGAAGTATGTTCCTATGATTCTAAAAAGATGAGCGAAAATGCCTCTGCCAGCGCCCTTTAGACATACCTCACATAACGCGTAACACGCACATTACAGAAATATTTTTATACTGGTTCATAATATCTTGCACCTAATACTAATGGTAGCTACATAATTAATACTACATTTCAAGCTCGCTAAATAAAAATAAATCAGCCATTGCTCTTTGACTGCAGCGATACTGATTTAATCTTGTACCTAGTGTCTACATTGCGTCATAACACAAATTTAACTCGAGATAGGTATCTGTCAATTGAGCTAGCCTAGTTTTACAGTAGCAGGATACACAATTTAAAAAATATGAATATGCAAATCAGTTTTACATCATCGTAAGGTTCTTTAATTTAATGTCCCAGTTGGACAGTTCTATATGATTTTTAATAAATAAACACAATCAGTAAATAGATCCGCCCCTTTCCTATAATCGCAGTGATAACTAGCGTATAACTGTAATTACGTCTCTACCAACATGAGACGAAAAGATCATTACTACATTTTAAAATATGATGTTTGTCTATTCCAGGTATTCAAGATGTCTTGGGTCTTCTACCAGGGCCGACAGTAGATGAGCTACAGACGTTACAACCACGCATGGCGCGTCGCAATTCCATATCGAGCGAAAATTCATCCTCCATGGAAAACCCACGCGTGATACTTGTTTTCTTCATCGGAGGCTGCACCTACCAGGAGATATCTGCACTCAGGACCATCAGCCAACAAGAAGATTCCAATGTAGAGTTTGTCATACTAACCACCAAGTTAATCAACGGCACTACTTTCATCGAGTCTTTAATGGAAAACGAATCAACCAAGTAATTCTATGTAACATCTATATCTCAATAAAATAAAGAATTCCATTTAATATATTATTATGTTTAAGTTGTCCTTTATAGCTTTGTACTATACTATATTTAATAAAAGTATAAATTGTTAAATAATCTTTTAATTCTGATTTTATCTTATCACCACATTTCATGAATACGGAATAAAATTAAACATGAACCATTAAATCTTGGTTTATTAAAATTTCATATTCATAACTTGCATATAATATAAACTTCAATTTGATCAGTTTTTATTTTTTGTTTAAATAAACTTACAAAAATCCTGCAGGCTTACCAACTATATATTACAATTTTAAAGCTTTCAGCATAATAAAAATAATTTCGTACACCAACATACAATCAAGTGTAATCTAATGACTATTCTCATAAATATTCGTTACTCGTGTATTTTGTGATGTTGGATTTCTTTGGAGGTGGTATGTAGACGCCAAACTTCTTGGCCAGGCTCACCAACTTCTCATTATCATATCCAACTTCTTCCTTATAACATCTGAGCATTAAAGGCATCACTGTGTCTAAAATAAACTTAAAGTTCTTCTGAGCGTAACTAGAGTCGTTGCCTATGGACAGCTTAAGGCGCGAGTTGAAGACTGCATAGATGCACTCGTCCAGTACGTCCATCATGTCCTTGGTGGCCAGTTGCAGTCCCACCTTCTGTATAGTTATAACAGACTGCGCAAACCATATTGTACTACTAGATAAGTCCACCCATGTTTCATTTATTATGTACTTAGCTAAGATAAGGCCCAAACTCTCCATCTGCGTCAAGAACTTGTTGACTCCGGCTTTAGTGTGCATATTCACAGGGGTCCACTTGTCCTCTGACACCTTATTCTTCATAGAATCCATAACTTTTTCCCTGTACTCCCTTAGGGCTTTCACTATAGGCGCTCTTAAACAGCTATTCATCTGAAATCTCAAGTCTAGACCAAACTCACAAAATAACAGGCACTGATCTCGCAAACTCTGCACACAGTCCAACACTGAATCTAGCGCACACTGCGGAGTGAACACTTGTTTGATAATTTGACTCATTAACATTCTAAGTTGCATGCTAGCCCACACTACCAAAGCACTAATTTTATTCTTAGGAAATAATGTAATGAACTCTGTTAAGGCATCGCTGAGTGAGCAGAAGAACACTTCACCTACTTGCTTTACATAACTATTGATAGACCCTTCTAGCTGGACCCCTTTCACATGCACCTTCACAGTGTGACTGCAAATTGCCAGGAACAGCTCACATGCCTGACTGGTCATGTTGAACTTATTGAGTATGAGTACAGGCTGCCTGGATGACTGTAGACCTCCCCTCGGGCTCCAGTTGTGAGTAACATCAAGCTCTTTCAGTAATATTTCAATCAAAACTTTTTGCTTTTGTTCAACTCTCTTCAACAAATCACTTCTCGATGGGTGGTTTTTGTGTTCTTCAGTGTCTAGTGCTTTCTGTGCAGACACCATCAGTTCATAAGTTTTTTGAAAATGTCTTTCAACAATGAGCACATCCAGCTCCTCAGTGACATCAGCCAGCCAGTCAGGCAGGGGAGCCAGTTGAGGGGATGGCAGTTCCTCAACAGAGAGACTGGGAGACTCCAGTAGCTCTGGTTTAGGCTTATCTTGACTGTCTTTTTTCTTTTGCTTTGATGTTTCTTTTTCAATGTGCAGTTTCTTAGCAATATCAAACTTGTCTAACCAATCTTTCTTAATGGCAAAACTATTGCACTGAAACACTCTTGTATCTGGAAATGCTAAAACTTTAAAAGCTTGTTTGACACTTCCCAAGTCTCTTACATTCACTACAGCTAGGGTACTGATAGGATAGCAAGCTTGAAACTTATATCTATTAGGACCTCTACGGTTTGATATCCACGATGTTAACATAAGGCAGTCATTGAATAAATACACATGCATCCGCTGTATGGCAGTGTTCTCTTCAGCATCTATCTCTAGCAAGTCACCTTCGTGCAACACAGTCCGGTCTGGGACGTCCAACAAGTTCATACAACCTTCTACTTTCTCAGATATGAGGTTGAGCTTGTTCTTGCGTTGTTCCTCGGCCCGCTCGGCCTCGACGTCGTGGTTGTCGAGGGACTCGCGGGACATAGCGTTCTCGTTACCTAAAATTGACGCGTGGGAGAGAGTCGTGAGCACAGTACGCTGTTCACTCAGCAGGTGGGAGAGCTTGTACATTTCAGCTTCTAGGTGGGATATCTCCGTCGCAGTCTCGATAAACTGCATGTAGTTCTCGTACACATTTTTCTTGAGGGCATTAGCGGTCTCGTCGGCCAGCGATTGTATCTTATCCTTCTGTTGTTGGAGCTCCTCCCCTCCGACACAGGACTTGGCCAGCTCCTTCACGTAACGTTCGGGCACAAAATCTGATACAGCAAACTTCTCCATGTTGATGTCGGACATCGTTATCTTAATATATTTACAATTTCTAGTCGTAATTAATAGTTAAAAACACTGGCTCACTCATCATTCGATAATCGAACGACAGGACGTATCAACCCATCAAATACAAATGTCAAATTTACGTTCCGTTATTATTAGTTGTATCGGTAGGCGTTTACATAATTAACGTTTAGTTACTAACCGTCCATTTTAGTAAACTGAATAATATTAATAATGAGAAATGTTTTATGAATTTCTCTAGTTAAACATTCAGTACTTATAGAAAAAAAGACATTTAAATTCTTTTTTTTTTCTTTAAATTTATATGAGTCATCGGGAGTCTAATAAATGTAGAGGCATTTTTGTGGTCGTGGCTGAAAATGATTATTAGAGATGGACTATTTTTTGGATAAATACTTAAAATGGATAAATGCTGACTGAATATTGGGTATTTATGCACTTTATTTTGATAAATGCTTTAACCTTAAAATGGTTAAATACTCATTATTTATTAATTTTCTAATAGTCTATAATGTGATAATGGCGAGATAAAGTGTTTCATTCTCTCTTTTTTTCGTCTTTCCGTCGACACATGCAAATATTTGAAAGCCATAATTTAAACTGTCAAACACCAAGCGGTCACCGGTGACCGCAACCTATTGTTCTATAATTGTGTCTACAAAACCGGTACTCGACGAGTTAATAGTGCCAGTTGCCATCGAACTACGTCGCACGCAAATAAGCTAAAACCCGTGGGCGCCACCAGCAAGGTACAATAGATCCATTGTATTTTTACTCGTCTAATGATATAATTTAAGTACAGCTGGTCTGTAATCGTGATATACATATATAAATCATTTAAAATATGTGGAATTGATGATGGACATTGGACATTGTTGGATTGAGTTTAGTTAAATTGGGCGCACTTATAAAAACTCCGAGCATCGAAGCTGTCAAAGCATGGCAGGAAATAAAGAGCAGGCTGTACTAGAAGCCCAGAAGAGGCCCAAAAGTGGCCCAAAATAGTTTAAATAATCCAAAGAAGAACCTTCTACACTTGTTTAAATTTCATTTAGGTAAACGTAAATACTTTTTTTTTTAATAATCTATACGACGCCTATGCTGAGCCCTGAGATTCTACTTTTTTCCAAATGTCGAATGATTGATTGTGACTGCACGGTTGATGCGGCCTGGGCAACCGGCTGCCGTGCAATGTGTCGTGGGTTCGATCCAAGAGTATAATAAGTGTAGGGGAAGGTTCGATGCCCGCACGGAACAACGCTTTGTGTGATCCACAAATTGTTGATTCGGATCTGGGTGTCATTGTGTATGTGAACTTGTATGTTTGTAAATGTACCCACGACACAGCAGAAAATCCTAATGTGGGGCAACATCTTAAAAAAAAGATTTAATTTGAATAGTTTACTCTTCGGTTCTATATACCCACTTCCTATACCTAAACAAGACATTATTTTCCCTTAAGTTGCATTACATGCTCTTGCCTTTGTTCTGGCACACTTTACTAATACATGAAGAATAATACTTAAGTAAGTGGAAAAGTTCGAAAGCCTAACCAAAGTCATAAAACACACAATTATTAGAAGTTCTAAAAATAACGGAGAAAGGAAACACAAAAAATAATAGCGACAATTTTATTTGAACTGGCAGTATTCACTTATTAGTAACCATAATTAATCAACAACATAACAGATTGATCAACGTTGACAATGAGACTATTTCACAAAGAGAGAGCGTTCGTTCCACAGTTGGCGTTATCTGGTTAAACACAAGCTTACTTCAAACTTTCAATTCAATATGAGCACGGACATATTGCCTCTTCTTTTTGTTTCCCAACGATAGAAAAAGAGAGCAATAATAAATAACTAAATGTGCTTCGTTATCACAAGTCATCATTTTACTTTATTTCATAAATTTCTAACTTAAATTATAAGTTTTATTTATCGACAACAAGTTGTAACAACTATCGAATTGAAAGTTTAAATTATTTTTTGTTTAATCCGTTCATCATTTTGAGATTAAAAGCGCGGGCAATTTCTTTAACAAGGCACTCTATGACAGTGAACGTCAAATTTGACACTACGTGCAACTAATTTATTGGCCTGCGCTTTTACGATTGTTTTAAATCGATTAATCGGTAAATTTATTCTTTCTTTTCTTCAGCTTTCGTTTGGGTTTCGGCTTCCTTGACCTCGGCGACGACCACGGCGGGGGCTTCAGGTACTTTGACATCTTCAGGTTGGCTGGAGTAGTTACCGTCGCGCTTGAACCTGTAGTAACGACCAGTGGCGACTACTGACTGAGTATCGTAGCAGTTCACGAGGGCATCACCGTTGCGTCCTGATGAAAATATGATAATGGTTAAAATCGAAATACACACTAATAGCAATACTTATAGTTTGAATTTAATTAAAAAGGACAGCTTACTAGAACGTTAATCTTCAGATTAACTATGTAACTTTATTACAAAACTGTAAATATGAAAACCGAACATTTTATTTAACTAACTTAATGCAGTAGTATTAGTGTAATTTCATACCGTTAGGGCAAGTACAGACAGCGATGTGTCTACGGGCCATGCAGACGGCTCCAGAGCCGCATTGAGTGTTGCCGAGACAAGGGTCCAAGCAACGGTAACCAACGCAAGCGAGGTTGTCTGGGCACTGGGAGTCCAACTCGCAATCACCCTGCAGTAGAAATTTTTTTTTAACATATTAGTAAACAAAGACATCTAACTAAAATATAAGTCTTGACTCAGATTGAACATATAAGTTTCATAAATGAACTTACACGTTCGCAAGACACGAGGGCATTTCCAATGTATCCAGCAGGGCAGGTACAGACTGGACGCTCAGCTCCAGTGCGGTCGTGGCCAGGTGTGCACTTAGCGTTAGCACCGCAGGGGTTAGGCTCGCAAAGGTCACCTGCCATTAAAAATAACATTTACAAAACTTAATTGGACCTAAGACAATGCCTTGAGAAACACCCATATTTCACGTTTTTTCTGTGGAAACAATATATCAGAATAAAAGTAAGTAGTTCTGTATGTTACGATATAAAACTTGTCTCAAAATAATCAAAAAAGTCGAATACTTGTCGATTTACCAAGACAAAAGTTTTAGACCAATCACAGAAAATCAAACTTACGGGCTTCGAAAGGCCTGCAGTAGGAGAAGGGATCTCCAGTCATGTTTCTAGGGCAGGAGCAGACGGGTGTAAGTCCACGGAGGTGACATTCGGCGTTAGTTCCACAAGCGTTGATACAGGGGTCGACACATGCGTTGTAGATACAGGCGGGTTTGTAGCTGGGACATTCACTGTCTGAGGTACATTCAGCAGAACAAATCCTGTAGGGATCGCCGTGGTAACCCTGGTGGTGACAAATGATAATGTATTCAATCTCTTAGTATATATCAATCAGTAAAATTAGGACAAATTGTCGAACAGAACACGACATAAAATTCAATGCAATTTATAACGATTTTCATTAATCTACAGAACATTGAAAAATTCGTCAAATATTGTCACTTTACAGTAACAACAGGTTTTAAAATAATATTCTTAACACACAACAGAGACCAGAGTTACCTAACTTCATAGCCAAATCTAAAGGAGATTCAAACACAATCCAGTCCCATAACTGGCTTTCTTCAATGCTACTTACTCTAGGACATTTGCAGATGGCGCGGTGAGCGGCGACAGTTTCACAGTCTGCGTTGACGCCGCAGTCTCCACAGGGACTGATACACTTGAAGTCTCGGCATGATTGCTGAGCACCACACTCGCCATCAGATTCGCATTCGTGGTGACAGCCTGTTAATGGACTGCCCTGTGGACGACCAAAACGATAATATTGACTTAGTTCATGATAAAAAATGGATGGATGGATATTTAAAGAAGTTTTTGTCTTTCTCAGCTAGGATGAGCTCGACTTTTAAAAGTGTTTTACATGGCGCAGAGCTGCATACTGCTTTCCATCAATACATAGTATAAAACAAAGTCGCTTTCGCTGTATGTCCGTATGTATGCTTAGATCTTTAAACTACGCAACGGATTTTGATGCGGTTTTTTTTAATAGATAGAGTGATTCTTAAGGAAGGTTTGTATGTATATACATATTGCACCCGTGCGAAGCCGGGGCGGGTCGCTGGTAAATAATAAGTACTGGTATCACATTTTTATAGCTAAGCTAATAACAAAGTCTTATTACTGAAATTAATTAGATAGGTACTTAATCTTAATCTAAAGTCTGTGGATCAACTTTACCTAATCCAAAGATTTTGGATTGAGATCGGTTAAATATCAATTTTGATTTTGACCATAGGTATAAGAAACTAAGTGCATGCTTAGGAATTTTCCTTGTATTTCTTGTAAATGAGAGGCTTGCCTTTCTGATAAACGTATGCAATTAATTTTATTAATAAAATGAACAGTGATTACCCTGTATCCTGGCAGGCAAGTACAGACAGCCTGGTTGTTAGCAACATGGCACTTTGTGTTAGCTCCACAGGGAGATGGGTGACAAGCTTCCTCTGCAAATGATAATACATCATAATTAATAAAAGATAAAGAACATAATACTATGGCACTGGACCTTGAAAATTGTGGAGTTTATACCTGGGTCGGCGATTCTGCAAGAGCTGAAAGGATTGCCAGTGTAGCCAGGTGGGCAAGAGCAGACGGGAATGTGGTTTCGAACCTGTGAAAGGAATTACAACTTTAATCAAATATACTTAAGACATGTTTTTATTATTTAAGGTATTTAACCGCTCTGAATCATCAGAAAGTTCAGTTCTATAACAATACTCTAAATGTGAAAATTGACTGGTAAGAGTTAACTTGATAAATGTTAATGATTCTTACATCGCAGTTGGCATTAACACCACAGGCGCCGACGCAGGGGTCGACACAGTGTTGGTTTACACAGCTCTGGTGGCCGCGGCACTCGCTGTTGTCTATAGAAATAATAATTATTATAATTAAAATTGCAAATAACATAATTGATAATGCTGATATCTTAATCAAAATACCTATAATCTACGAAAATGTTGATCCAAACTTACCAATGCACTCGATCTTGATGCACTGGCTCAGAGCGTCCCCGGAGTATCCAGGGAGGCAAGCGCAGACGGGCCTCACACTGCCGTGGATGCAATGGGCTCCAACTCCACAGGTATGGGGCCCGCATGTCACCAGGTTGTCGGATATCGATCGGCCGTGCTCGTATAAGTCGCGGCCCAAGTAATCCCGGGCGTAATAGTTGCGGTAACGTTGACCTGTAGAAAGATTAAGAGTGAAGTAAGCAAACGTAAGAAAGAGCTTATCCTTGCCTACCTAACATAGTCATAGAAATCGATGAAATTCCTTATAATTTTATACTCTTGACGGTCAAATCTATTTTCTGAGAATTTTGATATAAAAAATCCTTCAGAGCCATCAATAAAACAATAATAAAATTTGTTATGGAGAATCAAGACATACACGATCAATGAAAATACCCATAAAGGCGCGGCGGACACACCAAATCACCTTGAATTAAGATCCCATTCATAACAAACGACACATCAAAACGTTTGATTTATGTAAAAATTATACAGCAAATCATTGACGAGGAAGCTGCGTCAAAATTAGACCACAATAACAACATGATTAAGAAACAAAACAAACAGTTTGAGGCAAAAAGTATTTAACCCCCACGCATGATTAATTTGCATGATGCTGGCAATCAAGCAAAAACATCATTAGGACGAATAAAAAAGCCATAGAGGACCTTGGCAACAGGCCATATGTGGAAGGCTTCGCCCACTAGACCTTGCGTCCTTGCTAGCTCGCAATGACGGATTATAATAACATTGTTACACTTATTCCTAAATAAAAATAACCAAGCAATGCAAGTCTGTCTACTTGTTCGTGTGCCTCATCAATCACAATGTATTGTAATTTTGATAGATGTGAAAAAAAATTCTGATTGACTGTTCCGTTTTAGACATTAACATAGGTAAATTATTAGTGCTACTATTTCAAAGTTCCTATAACTAAATTCCAAGTTCCGAATAGGTAAGTCGTGTTTGTATGATCAAATTTCTAATTAAGCTAAGTAGATTCCACTAGTCGATAATTAGGTACAACATAGTGCAAACAGGAACTAAACTGCTGAAGAGTACGAATTTTGAAAATTCGTTCCAAGAAAAAGGCTTCGTGTCTAGGCCTAAGACCCAATGAGACAGAGCTTAATGAGAAAAAATAAGCTTATGTAACAAGAAGACCATACTAAATAAATATCTATCAATTTTCGATCCAGTAAATTATCCTAGTAAATCAAATGTTTTACGGTATCAAGTAAACCCGAATGCTAATGTTAGTAATATTATGCATATTGAAGTGGTATGTGGGCGTGTTCCGCGTGGTCAGTCCCGAGCTGTATCTACATCGACCTTCATAAATACTTAATGACAAAACAATACATTTGTAACAAACTGGATTATTATAACTTAATTACGGATGCATCAAAAATCGATAAACGATTTATTTACGAACGCCATCATCTAGGTACCTCCACATTTACAAAACCTACTTACTACTTTTTTGTAAAATTCTTTTACATGTTTTTTCTATCCCAACTGTAAGTAAGTACCTACTTATTTTTTTTTTTTTTTTTTTTGATACGACCACTCATAGTTCAGTACGATTTTTTTTAAGGGGGAAAATCATCGAATGACTGCTCCCGCCTGGGTGAGGCGGAAGGGAGTGTCAGACTCTTACTGACTAAAAACCACCCCGTTCCTTCTCCTGCACGTCGAGCCGGAGCCCCGGTTACCCGTTAGGTTCTCCGCGACAGTTCAGTACGATAGGGTTAACCGGACAAACCCCGCGGTAACCATTAACAAGAAAGTAAGGTCCCCAGCCAGGGCAACACTTAGGTATTTTCGTACTTAACTGTCTACCACCTACGTGTTACCGTTGATGTTTTTTTAAACTTGACATTGGAAACTGCGAAAATGAGTTTAATTGCTGCGAAATTATCAGCACTTGGAAAGTAGTATCTAATTAACTCGTTGAGTACCGTCATTATAGACACAATTAAAGAACAATAGGTTGCGGTCACCGGTGTCCTCGCGGTGTTTGGCAGTTTAACTCGTTGAGTACCGGTTTTGTAGACACAATTATAGAACAATAGGTTGCGGTCACCGGTGACCGCTTGGTGTTTGACAAAAAAAAAAGTAGTTAGGTACTTAGAGGTATAACTAACGGTTGCGAAAAAAAAACTAAATTTTACATAGTTTTTACTAATAACCCAATTCCTTTTAGACTTTACGACACTGCGTATGCCAAATATTTCCAATGTTAACGTAAATATTGAGTTTTTTTTTATAACCGGAAAAAGGTCGTCCAAATACCAAATTCTTTAAAAGCCATAACAACGTAAGCAAACTTCTTAGAAATGCTTAAGTATTAGAATTTACTTAACATCAGGAATTTCCCAACCGTGAACAAAACAATAATTAGAAAACAAACACTAGCTTTTATCCTCGGCTTTGCCCGCGTATACGTTTTATCCCATGGAAGCATTTAATCGGAATAAAAAGTATCCTATCACCTAAGTCAGCCCATACCCTGCATGTATACCAAATTTCATCGAAATCTGTTCAGTAGTTTCACCGTGATTGACGGACAAATATCCATTTATTCAAACATAGAAACTTTCACATTATAATATTAGTGCGATTGGTTTTAGTAACGAGGTCAAAGCACTACTATAATACTATATAACGATCTAAGTTTACAAAAATAATTTTAAGACAATTTACCGAAATATGTTAAACGCAAAAACAAAATAGACAAAAGCTGCCTAAATCAAATCACGGTGGTCAGCTGGTCCTACCCTTTTCGATCAAACTCTGGTACATCTTCAACGTTATGATATAGACATAAAGTATAAAATCCAATGGATAAAAATAGATTGGCATAGGTTGATAACGCTGGCCACTGTTCCTAAACAATAGTGATAGAATTTATTTTTAAAACTGTACATAACTGCACAAATAAAGTAGATAAAATTATTAAGTAAGTAAGTTTGTATCTTCAGTAGAAGCCACGATGCTTGAAACTAAAGGTCAGGATTGAATGGCACAATGTCCTAATTGCAACATAACCCCAGTCACCAATGTGAACCAGTCTGACATAATTTACGGCTTATGTTGTATAACTTATACATCTTATGTAGCATCTGTTGTTCTTTGTAACAACAGAGAGAAAATAATATGGTAGGTATATGGTGGTAAACGAGCAGACGGTTCTCCCGGATGCCCAGCTGTACGAAACAACTATAAATGATAAGATGATATCTTAATAATATAACTTTAATGATAGTTACATGATACAAATGAGTAACCGCGACGAGGATCGAACGCGAAATGAAGTAAAGTGCGCTCGCGGTACAAAAGTGCATATTCTACAATATTACAGGAATTCTAAGGGTGGACCGTACACCAGCATTCGATGTTGGCTGCCCGTGTAATTTAATTCGAACTGATTCGAACTCTTGAAGTGAGCTCGATCGCAGTCTGCCATGTCATTGGTTATGAAAATAATTATTTAGACTAATATGACAGGTGAGAATGCTATCGAGCTCACATCGAAAGTTGAAATTGTAAGTTACAGAATAATTTTGCTGAACACCAGAGGATTTAAGGAATGGGGGATGAGAAAACAAAAGTTTGGACATCTGGTAACCTCAATCACACGCCGAACGTGAATGATTACTAAAACGATAGAAATTTAACTTTTTAAATAGAGTGATAATGCCTTGGACAATTGTTAAAGGCTTCCTATGCACTGGAAAATAGGAGTGAACTTTAAAGTATGAATGAATTTACTTAAATCTAAATTCTGGTCAGATTTAAGACAGAACTTTGAAGGGCTTTTTGGTTCCAGTACTGGGATTATAATTTTGTTTTATGCCACATACCTTCAACGCTTCCTAGCGCCAAGAGCACCAAAGGCGCCAACAGCAACACCTGCTTGCCCATCTAAAAAAATGTCAGGACCTCACATTAATGTTTTGTCATTATAACCAATTTTATTAGATATGCTCCCTGATCCACATCACTATTTCGGGTACAATAGATAATCTTATTTTTTTCAAGATTTTCTAAAACATTATCTTCTTTATAAATCACACTACAAATAGTCATTGTCAAAATATCCGTGTCATTTGTTGCGCGAATAAGAACTTAAAATAAATACTTATTGGTTCTCTTTGAAAATTTTTACTTGGTATTGCAACCTTTTTATTTCTATACTTTATTATCTTGATTATACTCTCATTCCGATATCGTTAGCGGTATGGAGAGAGTCACAAGCAAGGAGTGAGAAGTGGGGTAAATAGTAATAGTTATGTGTTACTCATTTACAATACAAGCAAAGTATTATCTATAAGCAAATGACTTATCATGACATCACACCTTTTATCCCCGAAGAGCAGAGACGGACATTTTACCACTGTACAATGTAACCCCCACTTTTCACTATTTATGTTATGAGTTCCATGTAATATAATAGAGGTGAGCCTATTGTTAAATAAGCAAATGTTAATTATTAAAATTAGTAGGCACGATAATGTGAATCTAACTTAGTGCTAACAACTGCCAAAAGTTGTCAAATTTTCAAAATTATTTTCATAGATTTTATTTTTTCACATCTCACGATCAGTTAAGATTAGTTAGTTGTTGTTAGACATTCTTTTTAAGATATATTTTAGTAATTTTACGAAGGTACATTTAGCATCTAGGTATATTTTTGTACCTATTTTATTTATTCGTCTCCATTTAACCAACCATTCGTATCATCGGACAAGACTTAACAAAAGATTCATTATTATTATGAATGAGTTACCTCATCGAAGGTTGTACACTGTACATAGTCTATGACTCATAAAGTAAATATACTTTATGTATGGTGCAAACACAGCTGACCGTACATTTCTTCTATATAAGGCATAACGAGTTGATCACAATCGTAATCAACGCTTATTTTTTTTACAAAAAATAAAAAAAAATGCGGAATTACAGAACAATATTTTTTTTAAGTGTGGAATATCATCGACTGACTTGTCCTGCCTGATACAGAACAACATTTTCTTTTTAAAGGGGAAAGTCATCAAATGATTGCTCCCGCTTGGATGAAATCGAATCTAGGGTTTAGCGCGAAATTTTCATTAGGTAACTGTAGTTACCTGAATATCAATTTAAACTGTAGTTTCAATTACACAGCTACAGATGTTTATCCATGGTAGTAGAACGTTATAAATAAATTAGTGATACATACATAGTTTCTGTAGGTAGGTATGTATTTGACAACTAAAAATAAAATAATATATTCAGATGGAAAATGTACTTGTGAGTTCAAAGATGGCATAATATGTTTTACTAGCCAAAATCTACGAAATATTTATAAGTAAAGCAAATCAAGATCTCTACCTATTTACCCAAGTCCATAATCTGTGTTAAGCAAAATATAGATTCACGAAATAATAATGTTTACATAAAACACCTCTAAGTACCAAGTTTATTTAACCAGGCTGTTAGTAGCGTAGAGTTAAGTTAATGGCGATCAACAATCCATTATCACTCACTGCACAAATTAAAAATATATTAATTTTTGATTAAAAACTTTTTTCACTGTAGTTATTTTTTTAAAATAAATACGCGGGAAAAGGCACATTGACAGCTGACACTTACGTCTGTTTCGTGTATTTTCTCGCGGTGAGATAAGTCCGTGTCGTATGTGCACTGACCTTATACTACTGGAGGCGCCTACGCCACCGCCTATAGATGCGAACTTTTTGTATAAAAATATATGCATAGTTAAGTATGATAGAGGCAGACGTTGAACCCGGTTGTAGCAGCAGTTGTACTGGGCTGCTGGGCTGGAGGCATTAGAGGCTTAGTGCCCTAGAAAATACGATAGTTGATCGGAGCTGCGGGTAAAGAACAATATCTAAGTTACGAGTGGTTTTTAGTCAGTAATAGTCTGACACTCTCCCACATCTTACTCAGGGTGAGATGGGTCTTTCCCTTCAAAAACATGGTCCGACAAAAGCAGACCCTTTGCTCTGTAATATTTATCTGCTCATCTATTTTGAATCATAACCAATTTATTCGGAACTTTACGGAGAGCGATTGTTACTAACCTTTAATATTTAATGAAGATCAGACCATCCTTATTTAGATTCATTTATTGTTATGCAAACCGCCGACGACTATGTTGGTTGAGGTTCCTTGCTTCCTACTAAGAAGAACTAGTTAGGTACTGTCATCTATTTTTCTGTAAACCATGTCAACCTTTATCAAATAGTACCAGTGACTATTTCTAATCTATGACTTCATGAAATAAAAATTGCGGAAGTTAAAGGAAAAAAGGTTTACAATAGTAAAATGCTTCCGGACTATTGCCGACACCTACTGCATGTCAAAATGTGGTGACGAGTTCGCGCATATTACGTTTATGATGACGAATTGTTGACATTGAACATTAGCCGTAAACAACTCAAGTACCTTCGATTAGAGGTATCTGTCTATTAATTGCATAATAATTTGCCATACTTACTTAAGACTTTTTAAAGTCAAACTTATTTTTCTTGGCAATCATTTTTGACATCGTTGAATTTGTGCTAACATCATAATCGTCATCAAACAGCCTATAAATGCCCACTGCTGAGCAAAGCCTCTTCTCACACGGAGAACATTTGAGCACTAATCACCACGCTTGCTCAATGCGGGTTGGCGATTAATTTCCTTCACCGTTTGTCAGTGGTGTCTGAATAATCTTAGAAAGTACATATAACTCGGAAAAAGTCACATTGGTACTTGCCGTTGGTAGGTTCCGAACCCGCACCCTTATGCATGAGAAGCCAAGAAGAAGTCTTAACCTTCGAACCACCACGACACACGAATTTTTGCTAACGCCAAATAATATTATCCCAATAAATAGAACACGTCGCGGAGAACCTAACAGGTGTCGCGGAGAACCTAACGGGTTACCGGGGCTCCGGCACGACTTCCAGGAGAAGGAACGGGGTGGTTTTTAGTCAGTAAGAGTCTGATACTCCCTCCCGCCTCACCTAGGCGGGAGAAGTCATTGGATGATTTTCCCCCCTTAAAAAAATGTAGATAAAACATAAACATACGTATATAGACAACAAATCTGGAACTTTAGAAGGTATTTTTAACTGACTTGGCGTAACCAGAGTTCGTTGAATAGGTAGTAGTTAACTTTGTCTAGTTATTGGTCACAGAATGAAGGGGAAAATAAATACGTTACTTATTCATCGATAAATATATCAGAGTTATAAGGAACCCCTTTCAAAAATTGACCTTCATATTAATTCTTAATTTTTGAGATAGCCATACGGGGCTTATTGATTTTTGGGTAAGTAGATTGTGTAATTTTTCCAAGACTATTTAAATTGATTAAGCAAGTAAGTATTAAATTGGCTACTGCAAAATGATGTAGGTGTGCACCACTGGGATTAATAAAATTTTACTTTGTCAGGATAAGCTTGATCTAGCACGTTACATAATTATGTCACAAAAATGGTTCAAAAGTAGGCGAGTACTTCATAGCTTTCATCCTCATCAAAATTTCACAATAGACATGACTTCCTGGTGGCCGGAGGACCTTTTCGGACTTTTATGAATGAATTAATCAGAGCATATCGATCCCAGAGTATACATCTCCACTCCCTTTAATGTAGGGAAAGAGTCCAATTGTAATTCAAATTATAAAACTATTTCACCATACCATAGAAGCGGAACGAAGGACAAAGGCTGGAATTAATTTAAACTCGGCTCTGCTCAACGACTTTTCTTTCGCGCCATATTTGGTGCGCGGGAACTTCGTCGGCCATGATCGTGAGTGATACAAATCACGAGAGCAATGATGTCATTTCTAGTAACAAGTGTTTTGGACTTTACAAATACATTTTGGTCCTACAATACGAAATGTTCCTTTCTTACACAATCAGCTCTGTGACTCAGTCTACTTAGCTTATTCCTTTTCAGTATCAACTTTTACGAAACAAACTTGTTACTTAGAGTTTAAGTTTAATTTAACACCTACTTCTAATTTGAAGTACTTAATTACGTAGGTACTTATTTCGTGGGTGATACTGTATCCTCTTACTTGTCGGTGATTCGCCGTTTTCCTTGGAATCTCCATGCTGGAACTAGCGTCATACATCTAAAAGTACGGCATAAAAAGTATACAATTACAATTTTCCTTAATACGCACATACGTTACCTAGAATCTATATTGTTTATCCAAATAGAAACCATAACAAAAATAATACGAACCCGAACCAAGCCTACATAACGCCTAGTAACAAAACAACATCAAAATGTCATAAATATCCAATAAAGGACCATAAGAACGATTAAAAACTAAAATCTTCTCAATTATCATCTATATCCTGAAGATCGGAAAACATAATAAGATTTAAATACCAATTTTAGCATATATTTTTGGTGATCATCTTTATAGTCGGTAACTGAGTCAGTTTCTGCCCACACGATGACATAATGGCTGTTGTACACCTGATCCTATGGGCTTTTTGTCGGAAAATGGATAGTTTTATAGCAACAGCACATGTAGGGTTCTTTTTAAATAAAGGTCAATCACATCACCATTACAAACATTAATTGAATACGACACAAAATTGGTTGAAATCTGGTAACTAAGTAGATAATACAGGTCTGCACAAAGTCATACACCACACTACCCACATGCCATAATTAAAATAATTATAAAAAGCAAACAAGCCATCTACGTCTCAATTATGAGCACTTAATCATAGGTTGTATATACCTCTAATATAATAGCTATCAATTAATAGACGAGGTTAGGTAGGTACTAATTTGTCTGGGCAACGCAGACGTAGATATATTTTTACTGTAATAACGTTTAAGGTTTTTTCAGGTCGTCCCAGCAAAGCAAAGACCATTACTGTTTCCACTCCTGGACTTCTTAAAACTCTTTATGACTTTGTTTGTGTTTATTAAACTGTCAAACACCAAGCGGTCACCGGTGACCGCAACCTATTGTTCTATAATTGTGTCTACAAAACCGGTACTCGACGAGTTAATGATATTGTTAAGTAGTTTGTGTGTACTTTAAATTTAAATCTGTAGACTTTGAAAACGTCTATAGGTTTTCAGCTAGATAGATTAACCCGTCGTGTGTGTAATTTAAACGTGGATCCACGCGAGACACGTTATATTTTCTACTAGCTACTTCCGCGCGGTTTCACACGCTCTGCTCAGCTCCTATCGGTCGTAGCGTGATGTTTTATAGCCTATAGCCTTCCTGGATAAATGTCCTATCCAACACAAAAAGAATTATTCAAATCAGACTTGTAGTTACGGAGATTAGCGCGTTCAAACAAACAAACTCTTCCGCTTTATATAATAGTATAAGATATAAGATTGTGTTTCATATCGGTGCAAGCAAGCAGTTTATGTTACAATTAATTTAAATTGGCAATGATTTGTCTCCAAAATAGGGCTTTCATATTCTCATCCACAACATTTGTCATTTCAGTCCATCGCAGTTTCGCATGCCAGTACGTACTATCTTAACTTTTTTACCACCATATAACTTATTTAATATTAATATAAACATTTTACTTAAAACACCGTCCAAGGCCGTGTCCAGTTTCTCATAATGTTCCGATAAACAATCTTCAAATATATTAAAATAATAAACGACTTCACGTTACCATATTAAAAGAAATGACACATTTCTCATTAACACGAACCGTCGCAAAATAGTCGTCCTACGTATCGATTAGCATATAAAATACCTAATCTATTAACATCTTCAGAGAATGGGAGCACCGCCATATTTGGATCCTATAATACATCTCCAGATTGACATTTTTATTGACAATTTTGTTCACATGTCTACCTAAGTAGGTATGTAGGTACCTGTTTGTAGGTATTCAATTAACATAATCATTATGTATGTGGGCTTACATATGTATCATTAGGCATAGTCTTCATTAACTAAGTATGCGGTAGTTAATGTGGATATAGACAATAGGTGTAATAATTTATTTGTTAAATGTTACATCCGCGATGTAGGTATGTGTTACATGTGTGTAGGTACCTACTTTAAAATACCTAATACAAATACGCAAACCCATAAGTTAGACTGACACCGTAAAAAAAACTAAAAAGACTTGTAGAAAATGCCTAATTCCATCTATGTGTGTAAACATTACTAAATAAATAAATGAGCAAGACTAAATAAATATAACAAAGGATCATTTAATTGGTTACACCCACTTTTTATCATTTATCTTCTATTTGACTACATTCAAAGATTTTTTTATAATTGCTTAGCCTGGTTGAACCTAGAATCGAACTTGAACCTGTGGCATTATTGTGGAACTCCCGCCCGAGTTTGCCGATCGAAAAAACAAGCATACCTACGCATACGTATGTACCTACTCTCGTAGAATCCAAAAATCTTATTCGGTTTCGTCCGAGAATTCTTACAAGCAATGCACTATCAGAATGAGAATACAAACCTTATTTCCAGCTTCACAGAGCCGCCGCCGACTTTATTTTATGAGGCCTCCGAGTGCTACATGAAAATAAAGAAATAAAATTCAAAATAAAATATAACGTATCACACGTTACTAACCTTTACTCATTCTAAATCTAATTTGCCGCGCATTTTCATTTGAATGCATTCTGAAGTTCTTTAAATTAAAATATTTTATTGGACATGACATATGTAGGTACTTATATCCACGATACTATAATAGGTTTTTAAATAGTATTATTATTAAATTTGATAAATTTTCTTTCCTATATTTAAAATATACGAGAAAGAATAATAAGAAATAAGATAAAAATCTTTTTCCTTTGTTTGACACAGTTGGTTTTCGAACGCATAGGTACGTTTAATTTATTGTTAATAATTTTAAGTAGGCTTTTCCTGTTCTTACATTATAAGATATTTATTAACTTTTATGTTATTTTTTAAGCATTAATTATTGTTTGTAAAGTTTTATTTCTTATGAGAACAAAAAATTGGCCTTTTTACGAGAGATTTTCTTATACGAATAATCTTATAAGTGGCTAAAAGTAACGCGTCTGTCAAAGTGACAGATAACAGCTGACCATCCTGAAAAAAGAAACTTGTCGTCAATGTTGACATTTCCCATTCCCATCACATTCAGTTACAGTCATTCTCAACCAAAATGTATTGACAACGGGTAATCGTAACAGAGAAATCAAAAAGATTTCATAAATTAAACTTGTCAATGAAACAGGCCATTACCGTCCGGATCACGAAACATGTCGGCTAGCAGGTTAGACGCTGTGTACAGGAGTATACTTTTAACAAAATTTTTTACTAAAGGATGGGGGAAACCGGAGAACTTACGAAGGTCAGTGTGATGATAATACACGCGCTAGAAGTGTTGTGTAACAAGTGTTGCCGCCAACCTGTTAATTCTGTGATTTTAGTGAAACTACGTGTTTGTTTACAAGCTGTTCTCGTGTTGTGTTTTAGGTTATTCGAGTTCAGAAAAGTGGTTTCAAACCGCGACGAATGCTTCAAATTAGTTGAAAGGGACTACCCTGTTACGATTACAAAGGTAACGAGAAATTTTTCAGAATAATTCCAATTAGATTATGAAGAAAAAATGTCAAATTACTATTATTCCTAAATAAATTATCTAAATACCTTCAATTAACCTAAAAGTAATGATAACAAGAACATAAATAAATATATAAATAATATAATAAGCGATACGAAAAAATCTAGTTACATAATTCTAACTAGAAACATCCTCACATTAAATACACGACCACAAAAAAAATATTTAACTTTTTTTCAAATTCAACTATGTAATATAAATTTTTACTTATTATTTTGCAGCATCAAACACTCTCAGATTGCCAACTGTTTGAAGGCTACTTCATAACCCCTTTGGAACGGTATCTACCTGGAATAGTGCCCAAAATAGCACAAAAAGCACATTTTCAAGCACTCCTGCCGATCCACTGGGCGGAAAAACATTGCAAACCTGTATGTCTACATCTAGCTGGCACTGGCGACCATGTAAGTAATAATTGAAAATTCTTTTTAAAAAGTATAATGTATGTAAAAACTGAACTAGTAGAAACTTAGTAGTTGGTAGCTACCCACATACATACATACTTACCAATAGTAAACTAACCGGAGGACTTAGTATGAGTTTGTTACATTGGAGCTGGCCTATCAGAGTGCCGAATGCCAACTCATGATTACTTTAAACTGTCAAACACCAAGCGGTCACCGGTGACCGCAACCTATTGTTCTATAATTGTGTCTACAAAACCGGTACTCGACGAGTTAAACGTAAAACAAACTCGTACTAAAGCCTCGGCATAACAAGCTACCCTTACTTTCAAATTACTTCAACTTTTAACTTTAATACAAGACCAAAAAGATGAAAATGTATTAAAGGCATCTGCTATAGAAACAGAGAATGGAATACAATAATACAATAATACAAAGCAATTCATATTTAGCAGCTACAAGCTTGTCAGTCGAAGGTACTTCTAAAATGATTTTTAGTACTCGTACCCACAGCACTAGGATAACTAAAAATTGTTATTCTTTAGGCTTAAACTGTCAAACACCAAGCGGTCACCGTCAACCGCAACCTATTGTTCTTTAATTGTGTCTATAATGACGGTACTCAAAGAGTTAAATCTATCTCATTGAAATCTGCACAGCAATTATTGTGTTGTTTTGTGTAAATATTACTAAGGATACATCAGATCTAATTATAAAACATTATCAAGGATATTTAATTTCAATTTGAATAATAACACTGATGCCATTTAAATGCATTGTATATAAATTTTAAATCAAGTTTGCCAAGTAAATAAAATGTATTATGTGGACTTGCAACTAATAATAAAAAGTAACTGAAGTAAGAATTTGTTCATAGAAAAGTAATGACTGTGTCTTAAGAACTTGATATAACGTACCGAAAATCCTCAAAATTTGTTCATACAAAAATAGTATCTAAATAAGCAAAGAAATCCATACATCATAAAACAATATAGACATAAATAATACCTAGATTAGGTACTATTATCGTCTGAACTACTCAAGTGTAAACAAAACAAGAATTTATGCAGAAGACATTGGCACGATATAAAGTCGACACACGTCACGCATTCGACACGAGTGACTAAGGCGTAACGTCACTCAATTACACTGTCACACGATAACAGATTTGTGTACGTGATATTGGTGATAAGGAAGATCGATCTGAGGCTTCCTAAGGCCAATATATTTGGTAGCAGTAGCGTGTCGGGAAAATGCCACGGGCCCCAACTGGCTCCCCGTTCAGAAGTTTTCATCTGAACTTACATAATATCACGCCTTTTTATCCCCGAAGGGGTAGGCAGAGATGCACGTTACGGCACTTAATGCCACTGTACAATGTAACACCCACTTCACTATTTATGTTATGAGTCCCATATAATAGGGAGTGAGCCTATTGCCATATACCGGGCACATTTCCAGACTCCGTGCTACTACTAAGATACCCGACCCGGAAATCGAACCCGAGACCCTTTACCCAGCAGTTGCACTTGCGACTACTTGGCCAACGAGGAAGTTCATTTGAACTTCTCTGTTTTTTTATTGGGGACGAAGGCCCATTCAATGAACTTTCCACGGGCCCTGAACGATATAGTTACGCCACTGATGTTTGGGCTTACAATGTATTTTTTGAGAAACAGTGATGCTCTTGTAATGTATTACATTTTGTCAGTTAGTCAAAGCCCCTATTGAGAAAAGGTTCATATGTATTCCACTGAGGGTTATCTTAGCGATGTGGTCATTTAGATAGTAAGAGTATTTATAGCCCTGGTTAGGAGCTTTAACTCCGAGGTCACTGCAGGAAAAGCCCGGTTAAGTAATACCCCGCGATGGCTGTTAAATAAGAACCGTAGCGTGTTGACTGACGAGCAGTCACGTACACCCAAAACTGACTCAAAGATGACACTTTTTTTGAGGGGCAAAATCATTGATATCACGAGTTACTCTAAATCACATATTGTATTCCACAATCAAAACTACACCTAGTAGTTCATTAAATTTATCAGTTATGGCTCCTGTTGACAGAAAAGAAAGAATGAAAAAAAAGTTTATTTGCACAGTTACAAAAAATGGAAAATAAAACTAATAAAAAAGCACAGTGCTCAGCTAAAATGTTGTTGTTGGGCACGGTAACGTAGACTAGTCACAATAAAATTGCGATTCCACGACTACTAGAATAGAACTTATGTAACTCATTAAGAGTACAGATAACGATCACGCCATGTTACAAATTAAATCGTTCAGTGTTAAAGGTCGTATTGATTGACCTAGAAATCAATATCAAACGTGAACTGTGACTCAAGTTCAAGACAAGGCATAGTCAGTACAAAACATATCGCATTATCGTTCACCTCATATCATTTTCCTAATTTGATCACGAAAGAAACATTTTTCTAGATTAGACTCGTGTAGAGTCTAGTCTTTATAGCCTGAAAAAGTATAAATGATTCATCATTCATGAATTTTAAGTATACTTTTAAATTTTTCAAAATTTAATACTTCGATCTTACTAACTGCACCTCTGACTTTGTGCATAAATAATATAAAAAAATATTCATGTCATGTCATATTATTCATCACAAAATATTTATCTTTACAATAATAAATAGAAACGTTAAAAAAAGCGACTGCTTCAAAACTGCTGTGAAAAGTGGGGGTTACATTGTACAGTGGCATTAAGTGCCGTAATGTGCACCTCTGTCTAACACTTCGGTGATAAAAGGCGTGAAATTATGTTAAAAAATCTAAGCTTCTACATCAAAAAGCTTATCTAACAGTTTGCGCCAAACTGGCTGGAAAGCATTTCGTTGTCCCACATAATTGAAACTAGGACAGCACTATTACGCAATATCTGCAGTTTATATTCTTTAACAAAATCACGGTCGACAGTCACGACACAGTTGCAAACTACAATTTCCAATTTTTAATAGATATTGTCGTAATTAAGGCTTCTTTTTCTATGACAGAACGATCATAATGAGTAAATATTGGTAGTAAATGGTAATGATGCTAGCTAGCTCTTAGACTAAACTGTCTAAGTTAGTTATTCTATTTCAAACCTTATTACCTACTAGTTTTAAAGTTTGAAATCTGTTGATGAAATTTAAAAAATATAGCGTTTAATTGACAGCGTATTAGAAATCGTTTTTATAGTTTGTACCTCGTATAGAGGTAGAACTACATATCGAACTGTGGGAACAAAACATCTGTTCTATAAATTATTGAACCATTCTAATATTGTCTGTGAGAAATAAAGAGAAATAAACTATGTTTCACACTACCAGTAGGTAGTGTATTTTGACTTTGGAGTACCAAAGTCGATTTTTAAACATAATACATAACGTCCCGTCATTTATCCCCGAAGAGGTTGGCAGAGGTGCACATTTTCCGGCACTTAATGCCACTGGTCAATGTAACACCCACTTTTCACTATTTATATTATGAATCTCATATAATAAGAGGTAAGCCTATTGCCATATACCCCGCACATTTCCAGACTTCGTGCTACTACTGACATTTAATTTAGACAGATTTAAAGATTTAGCGATTTAGAGAGAAGATTAAAAAAAACCCAGTAATACCTTGTCCGACTCGGAAATCAAACCCGAGACCCCTTGCCCAACAGTAGCATTCGTCACCAGTCGACTGCCTCGTTGATTTCCTAAAAGAAAACTTTAAACTGGATTTCCAATAAAAAGCTACGCAATACAATCGTAATTTGTTCACAGATTTTCCTTTGGTTCCTAAAACACGTAAAAACAACTTATCGACTTTCGACTTATCACTTTATCGAAACGAGTAATATGATAACAATACTGATAGAAGACCACCTAATGTCTAATGTATAGCACTAACCAGTATAAACTGATCGTTAAACGTGCGGAAAAATCATGCAATGCGAGACCAAGATAAAATGGTTATTTACAGCTTAATGTGTTACTTACTCAGAATGGAATGCTATGTACAAACGCTCGGCTGTTGACCCTAATAATTTTGACAACAATAAAACAAAAATGGACGATGAGAATTAAAAAATAAACACTAATACCGGCCTTTTGGCGTTCAGCCAGTAAACAGAACGGTTGCATCCTTGTATATTTGACTTATGCGTTTTTGTAATGAAGTAAGTTTTTGGACGTTTGCCCAAATTATTTTTATTAATCGTCGGCTTTTCCTATCAGATCTGTCAGGAATTAATGTATGTAACAAAGGAAGATTTATTTATTTATTTATATACTACCTGACCCGGCAAACTTCGTACCGCCTATTTCTTTTTTCTTTACCGTTTAAACTTTCCTTAGGACAAAATTAACCAAATCGGTTCAGCCGTTTTCGAGTTTTAGCGAGACTAACGAACGGAAATTCTTTTTTATTTATATATATATATATATATAGATAGTATAGATTTATGCATAACACACAGACAGTACACAGCAGAATGCACATATAAATAAATTGGAAGTAAATATGTACTACATATTCCCGTAGGAAACTCTTCCTGCAGTCCTTCGACAGGAAAAACAGTAAAACTAAGAAACTGTATGTAACATAGTATAAAACTATGTTGATGTTGAACTTATTATACCTATCCACACATTTCATACATTAACATAACTTAACATCACGCATTTTATCCCCGAAGAGGTAGGCAGAGGCAGTGGCGTGCACAGGTTTTCGAGACAGGGTAGGCAATTAAATATCGTATGATTAAACCCCTCCCCCCCGGTCATACAATGACAATCATACTCACACAAGACAGGTACCTACATGTACAGAATACATTTTGAAAAGTGCGTTCAAGAATATTGTGGTTTATTCTGTCGCCAAATTACATACACTGACATCTCGCGTATTTTTTGTGAACTACTTCATCAGCTATGGAATAAGCCAACAAAACTTACAAATAATTGAACATCTATTAATTATACTAATAATGAAGCATAAATTTGATGAACCAAATTCAATTATCGAATTGCTAGATAATCTATTCAAAATCATAATAATATTATATTATATTATATTACGAATTTAAGAACGTAGGTACCTACCAACAAACAAAACAATAACAAGCGCGGCCGGCTGTGGCCGAGCCGAGTATTTATAAGCGGTACATTTGTTATTACATTACATAATTATTAATAATAAATTAATATGTAAATCAGTACAACCCGAAGTCTAAGTTGATATTTTTAAGAATTATCAAACAAGAAAATCAATAAAAGATCCATTAAAGTACATAATATTTACATTACCTACCTTTGACTTGGGTCAATTCTCGTAACTTGAGTACTGCCTATGGTCATTACCTGAATCTAGTCGTTGTAGGACACATTTTTGCGAAAACTTACTGTTTTTAACTTTCAACAAACACAAAAAATTATCTATTATCAACACAAACTTCACAATCGAATAATATAGGTACTTGTACTAGACACTGATAAACAAATACACTATTTGAAAAACCTACACATACATTTAACTACTTCTACACATATTTATGCAACTTTATGTTTAAAACTAATTCCTTATAATTTAAACGAAAACATAAACAAAGCGATCGCACATCACATGAAAACAATATGGCCGAAAACATTGGAATGAATGAACCCATCGTAGTCAATTGAGTGTTTATTATAAAAAAATTATAGCTATAACATTAAGGCAACCCAGTGTTTAATTATAAAAAAACAAAACGTTAATTTACATAAGTCAAATGGAGTTCCGTCATTGTCTTATTATTATTTTCCAATAAGAAACATTCGTTGATAACAATTTGAAACTTTGAGTTATCAAAACGTCAAGTTGCCGCTACTCAAAAGTTATTCCTTTTTACTTTTAAAATAATAAAGTCAACTCCTCGTTTAAAGTTTCTGTAAACCGACAACGCGTAAAAATGTTAAGATTTAATTAAAATACCTGAAACATATTTTTTTAGTATGCATAATTATAAAAAGACATTCGCATTATATCGAACGTGTTCAGAAGTTTTAACAAAAAATTCAATAGATGGCGCAGATTCATAAATTTCAAAGGCCGGCAGCAATGACTTTTTTGCGTTTATGAATGGTTATTCTCTGCTGTGACCATAGTCACGTGACCTTCACGCATGCGCGTTGCATACTTTTTGTGACGTCACAACCAACAACCAAGATTTAAGGAATAGTAGCGCATGCGTGGTGCGTGCGGGGCGCATTCATTGCTTTACAAAGGCGTGCGGTCCGTGTATAGTATATGTGAATGTATATTTATGTTAGCCGTTTTTTTACAAACTTTTATTTTATTATTGAATCTTAATAAACGCGTTTGTACATTTTATGTCAAGCAAAGCCTTTTTGCCTATATGGACTGCACGCCACTGGGCAGAGGTGCACATTACGATACTTAATACCGCTGTACAATGAAACACCCACTTTTCACTATTTATGTTATGAGTCCCATGTAATAGGGGGTGAGCCTATTGCCATATACCGGACACAGTTCCAGACTCTGTGCTACCACTGAGAATTTTTTGAAATCCAGTAATACTTTACCTGACCCGAAAAACGAATCGTCTGTTATGGTGGCCCAGAGGTTGAAGATGCCCGCTTCTCATGCATGAGGGTGCGGCAAGTAGCAATGTGACTTTTTCCGAGCTATATGTACCTTCTAAGATTATTCAGACACCGCTGACAAACGGCGAAGGAAAACATCGTAAGGAAACCTGGGCTTTTAATTTCTAATTATAAGTTTGAAATCGCCAACCCGCATTAAGCAAGTGTGGTGATAAATGCTCAAACCTTCTCCATATGACAGGCTTTGCTGAGCAGTGGGCATTATAGGCTGTTGATATGATTACGATAATAATTACCAACAAAAAAAAAACAATTAGACAGCTATATAATCCATATGTGAAACTTATGTTAGGACCTTTTATCTTTTAAAATAGAATTAACACTTTAACAGTTATGTGTTACCTACTTACATGAAAATTCATAGAAGTTGTTTCTTTTCAGTTTTTCTGGCGACGACGCAATCTGATGGTGAAGCCGTTGCTGAAAGAAGCTGGCATCGGTGGCATCATACTGGAGAACCCGTTCTATGGTCTGCGTAAGCCGACTGATCAAGTGTAAGTATATCTTGTGGAAGTCTTGGAACATATCACAAAAACAGGACTTCAAAATAATTGTTAAACATAAAAATCACAAATCTTTTAAATCAAATTGTTGTGGCGTCGCACCTTTTATCTTTAATATCCGAATGTAGTAGGCCTTCGGTTTCCTTCATTTCCAAAATCTATGTTTTTGTTGGCACTCGAATTATATCTTGTCTGACCTGGTAATCGAACCCAAAACACCTTGCAGGAAACAAAGTAACGCTGATTACATTAACCAAATTAATAATTTTCCCTAAATACTCATAAATAACAGTGAACTAAACTTATCTCTTTTTGAAAGAAAGAAATTGCTTGCTACTCATGCACGATTCATGAATATGAGTCCTGGTACGACTCGAAACCAGTAGAGCTTTTCTCGAATAGTTTACTCAAGTCATCCCTATATAACTTACCTTTCTAACACAACTGTTCTATGTCCGCAGTCGTTCCTCGCTGCACAACGTTTCGGATATATTCGTGATGGGCGGCTGTTTGATCCTGGAGTCCCTGGTGCTGTTCCATTGGTGCGAGCGCAACGGACTCGGCCCGCTCGGGGTCACCGGCCTCTCTATGGGCGGGCATGTTTGTATACCTTCATATTTATGCGAAGATACCATTTGGTTCTTTGTAAAACATTTAAAATATCAAAGTTGATCAAAGATCAAAGACTTTGCAACTTACGGATAGCACAGTTTCGAACACTCGTTTCGCTTACATGTTTTAGAGCATTTTAAAATATAAAAAATCGAGTTTTTTTAAATAAATATACAATAAAAAAGAATAAGAGCAGTCCAAGTGTATTGTAAAAAATATAATAATGTTAAATCCCCCAACAGATGGCATCATTGGCAGCTACAAACTGGCCGAAACCTCTAGTCCTGGTCCCATGTCTGTCATGGTCAACAGCATCTGCAGTATTCTTACAGGTAACCCGATTATATACTTTATATATTCTAAATTTTTCATTAAGAATCATAATGTTACTCAAGGTAAACAATTTTGAGCTCTATCTTGATACAACAAGAACCACTATTTAGTTTAGACTCGCATTTAACGCAAACTAATTTGAGCTCCATTTCAAAGGCATAAGTGTTTAGTTAGACTTATTCTCATATTACATAGAGTGAAACGTAACTCAAACCTAGTGCAAACTAATTTGAGCTCTATATTAACACACATAAGAGTTAAATAAGACTTATTCTAAAATTCTCAGGGTGTAATGTCTCATTCGATAAACTGGGACCTACTAGAGGACCAATACTTATCAGACGGCGAGTATAGAGAAAAGCTATCCAAAATGGTGACCATAGTTGACGAGGCTTTCCTAGCCGGCAAGAAGTTCGCACGCACGTACTCACAAAACATAGACATACCACAAGAAAAAACGGACAAAAATGAAACGAAGAAAGAATTAGATATAACCTACAAAGAAAATGCTGTACCAGAAAATATAATAGATATTAACAAAGTGCCTAAAAATGAAGATAAGAGCCAAATCGAGAATATACATGAAGAATTGAAAATGTTATTGGATGAAAACAAAATTAGTTTAGAGTTGTATAATAAATTGACGTCGAACGAGAAGTTTGTGTTGGAGCCGGCTGACATCGATGCTATCAACAATATGACTGAGCCACAGATCAAGGAAGTGTTGTTAAAGTGTAAAGTTGGTAAGTCCTTGGTCTTGTTGCCAGTAATGTTAAATAACCAGTGTTTGTAATAACTAGACTAATTGATAACATTATAAATTGTAGTTGACAGTTCAAGTCTTAATCAGAACTATTTAGTACATCGTGGTAGCTATTATAGTTTATTTTAGGCAAAATATATCTTATATTGTCTGGCATATAGTAATAAAATCATCCTATCTACAACAACGTAGGTAAGAAGATAATGTAAATCATTATTATCTCTAAGAATAACATCACAAATTGCATTTTGATATATTATCTAACAACTATTTAGCTATCCTGTGCCTTTAGCTAAACACCACTTTAGCGCTTGTCTACAGAGAGAGTACAAAACTAAATGTATGGGGATGACACTGACAATCAAAATTTACGTCAATTCCATATAATTTGGTTTTCTATTCTACATGTAGACAAGTGCTAAATGGCATTTGGCTACAGCTGCTGTATATTATTCTTCCAGCCGACCTCCAAGAACTAGTAGTGACAATACAAAAACAATCAGAAGCGAATAATAATAAGGTTCGATCTGCAGTACTAAGTGCCAAACAAGACGTAGTAGAAAGTCCAAAGCCTCTAGAAAACCCATTAACAACCGTACAACCACCTAAAGAAGAAATTATAAAAAAACCAGAGAAATCATGGAATTTCACATCAGACTTGTGGATAAATTACCTACCGTTTCTAAAATCGAGTGCTAAAAGTGGGAAGAAGATAGATATAAGTAAAATACATTGGAGAGACAGAGAGACCCTACAGTTCATGAGAGGTATCATGGACGAATGTACGCATCTTAGCAACTTTTCCGTACCTTATGACACTTCGTTGATCATTGGTAAGTTTTACTTTCCAAGATATATAAGACTAATTACATAACATCATATATACATACATAACATCACGCCTTTTATCTCGAAGGGGTAGGCAGAGGTGCATATTATGCCACTGTACAATGTAACACCCACTTTTCACTATTTATGTTACGAGTCCCATGTAATAGGGGGTGAGCCTATTGCCATATACCGGGCACAATTCCAGACTCCGTGCTACTACTGATTTTTTTTTAAAAACCAGTAATACTTTGCCTGACCCGAGACCCCTTGTCCGGTAGTTGCACTTGCGACCACTCGACCAACGAGGCAGTCTAATATCAAACATAAGACTAATATAGTTTTATATTTAGATGCTACACATTTTTTTAGTTCGATATCTTGGCAATGATTTTGTACACGTGTATTTATAACTTCAAGGAAGTTATCTGTCATACGATTAGTATTGTAGTATCATAAAAACAGCATACAACATACATACCTAACATCACGCCTTTTATCCCCGAAGGGGTAGGCAGAGGTGCACATTACGGCACTTAATGCCACTGTACTATATAACACCCACATTTCATTATTTATGGCATGAGTCCCATGTAATAGGGGGTGCCTATTGCCGTATACCGAGCACAATTCCAGGCTCCGTGCTACTATTGAGAAATTTTTCATAAAACCCAGTAATACTTTGGCTGACCCGAGACCCCTAGTCCGGTAGTTGCACTTGCGACCACTCGGCCAACGAGGCAGTCAAGTCTTCTGCTTTCAATAACATTGATTAGATAATTTAATTCCAATGTTGTAAGGACCTTTATGCCATGCCATATTTTTGAATGCATAACACGATCTCCTAAATCATTCTAAATATGTAAAGAAAGTGATACCGCAAGCACTTTCACATTCTAAGCTATATTTAAGTATAGTTGGAACATATTTTGGCAACTATCTTACATGATTAGCGCTCTGACTGCATCAATGCGGTGTGCATATAATCATATGTTTCTAATTATATTTCTGAATTAAGAAGAAAGAAACAAAATTTAATGTTTAATATACTTACTTGGGTGTGTACATGTACATTGGCATTAAGTGTCGTAAAGTGCACCTCTGCCTACTCCTTAAGGGATAAAAGGCGTAATGTTATGTTAACTTTATAATTAATATTCTTTGCCTCAAATATATTACGCATTTTTTAAACTTATAAATCATTTTTGTAAACATTAAAAATCTTCATCATCATTGTAAATACATACATAACATCACGCCTTTTATCCCCGAAAGGGTAGGCAGAGGTGCACATTACGGCACTTAATGCCACTGTACAATGTAACACCCACTTTTCACTATTTATGTTATGAATCCCGTGTAATAGGGGGTGAGCCTATTGCCATATACCGGTCACAGTTCCAGACTCCGTGCTACCACTGAGATAAACCCAGTAATACTTTGCCCGACCCGGGAATCGAACCCGAGACCCCTTGCCCGGCAGTCGCACTTGCGACCACTCGGCCAATGAGGCAGTTTAAATACAGTCATTGTAAATATAGCCTTAAAAAAAATACTTCCTCAACATTAATTTAACAAAATCCCCTATATGACACAGCTGTATGCGCAAAACACGACGCGTACGTGCCCCGTGATGACGTCGGTACGTTGGAGGAGATCTGGCCCGGCGCTGAGGTGCGATACGTCGACGCGGGACACGTGTCCGCCTACATACTACACCAGTCACTGTTCAGGTGAGACCCACGTAATAATTTAAACTATAGAGTAGTTTAAAAAAGTCAAATGTCCAAATACTGAAACGCTACTCAATTTTAAGTCGCACTTATATAATAGGGTAGTTTCCAGGGTATCAAAATTAAAAATCTAATTAGTCCGTCAGTTAGACAATGAAAATATATTAGACACGAATTTTTTATTTACTCGTATTAAGTAGCAATAAAATGGCGATAAGTTTAGGAGTGGGAGGTTGTTACGTCATAACGTGCTACAAAATGTGGCACGCTGTGTCGTCGCACGATATTTCAAATTAATATATCGTCGAAAGTATTTAATTATGTGAGAAAAGATAAAGTACGTGTCTAAAGTATTAAATTAATGTACCAGACGGACATTAAAATAAAATTTAGGGAACTACCCTATTCTGTCACTACATATTCTTTGTAAAATGACAGAGATGGCACGACATCTAAGTAAAAAATAAAATTGAGTAGGCTTCTGGTCTGGTATTTGGGCGAAAGTCCTTAATTATGCGTTGATATCATAAACAACTAAAGCAAGCAGTATGTGGTCTGGTTCAGTAACTCTCCGTTCTAAAAATTGAGTAACATAATAGTTAATACCAATTTCCTATTCGATCAGACATTTCATGAACATAGCATTTATTGTCAGAATACCTATTTCAAACTAACAAAACTAAACTAACTTAATAAACTTAATAAACTAACTTAATAAAATTTAAATATAAACTTTTTCCATTTGTACACTACAAATTGTTCTCTTTGTTACAGAGCCTGCATAAAAGAAGCATTCGAGCGATCAAAGAAAAGGTGGCGCGACGGCGGACATATCAACTGACAATAGCTTATACCTAGCACTAGTATGACGTTCCTTTACATTAAGATAAACAAAGTAAGCTCAAACATTCACTCAGGTATTAGTTGACAAACTAATATACCTGTCAGGACTGAAAAGGGGCGGGGTATGATACGCTCCGCCCCTTTAGGCAGCAATGTCTGTAAAATTGGTGCAATGTAAAAAGGCTTGATGTTACATCTCCTTTTTTGTTTAAACTAGCCAGTCTGTTGACAGTGCCATGTTGGATTTAGCACAATTTTTACGAATAGCAATACACGCGAACTTCTTAACTTTTATTTGAAGTTGAAGTTCTAAACATATATTAATATCTTCGATCATTCATGTATATGGGAATTGACGATTATCAAGCCAGGTCTTATACGGCTTGATTCGTTCAATTCCCGTGAACAGTTAGCACAAAGTAACTGGACATGAAGTCTACCGTCCAGGATCTAACAGCGCTACACTCGAAACAGATTATAACAAATCTCACTTATCAGTTGAATCGATTTTAGTACTTTTTTTCATTGACATACAATTTAAATTCCATTTACGTAGCTGTAAGCGAAGGTTGTTAAAATTTGTAACGTGGTTTTCTATGTCCCAGCTTAACGAAACAATAAAGTACAAATTTAATTTTCGAGCGCATATTGTTTAGATGATAATTTCCAGTGTTGTAACGCTTTTAGAGTTATTTATTGTAGACGACTCTTTGTGTAAATAAGAACAAATTATATATTTCTCTATTGAGATGAGATTGTAAAGTGTACATTGTATTTTTATAAATAAAATTGTTTTTTATTACTATTCGTTTCGTTTCATTTGGTTAGAACTGTATTATATGTCGGCATAAGATCAAATTCAGTAAATCTACGATGTTATATCAGAATCCTACATAACATAAACCAAAACACACCAGCAAGAGAAACAAAACCCATAAAATCTCATCAGATAATCCTAATATAAAAAATAAGACTTCCCAGCACCGCATTAAGGTATTTGAGAATCAGGATAAAACTAGTCATATCCCTATATACATTAAAACAACGAAATATACAACAAAACGCATTTATTCTGAATCATTATTCATTCGTGATCAAACTGCAACATAAAACTCAGAGTACAAACCAGATATTCAATTATAGAACACAATATAGGGAAGATGACCAACTAAATATATTATCCATTCGTCTGGTAGATTCATAACTATAAAACACGTATTTTAACTTACAGAATCATTAACATTGATTTAAAACATCAGATGACGTCACTTCGCATCGCAAGAAGTGACATAGTGAGTCTCACGTTAAAACTTTCACGGCCGAATACTGAAATATTACTAAATTTTTAGTCTTCCCACATTAAACGCCACATTGGTCACCGGCGCCCGACGACGTTAGTACAGAACTATTCTTGAAAGCGTCTTAAAACTGAGTAGCGTATTTGAACATTAGGTCGGTTTTATACAACGATGTCTGCTCAAACATAGAAAGGGACGCGCGTATGTTGAATATATTTGCATCTCTTTTTAACAGTGCTTAAGAAGAGATCTGGATTTGAACATAACATATAATACTACCAGAGGGACATTAAAAAAAATTAGGCAACTACCCATTTTTTTTTTAAATGTCCGTCTGTTAGATTAGTTTAAAACATTAGACACGTATTTTTTCTTTTCTCACAAAGTTAAATACTTTCGACAATAAACTAATCTGAAATATTGTGTGACGTCACTATGCGCTACATTTTGTAGGACATAGTGACGTAACGACCTCCCACTCTTACACTTAAACTGTCAAACCAAGCGGTCACCGGTGACCGCAACCTATTGTTCTATAATTGTGTCTACAAAACCGGTACTCGACGAGTTAATACCATTTTATCTTAAGTATTGTAACTTTATACGAGAAAATAAAAAAAATCGTGTCTAATATTTTTTCATTATCTAAGTAACGGACTAATTCGATTTTTAATTTTCATTCCCTGGCAACTACCCTATTATATAACTTCGGCCTATAACCACTCTAGAGTAACTTTTTCTTTCCACGCACAGATAAAAAAAATACGTGTCCTATACATATTTGGAGATAATCTGACAGACGGACTAAATTATTTATTGTCATCATCTCTATTATTGGACATTATTGTGTTTAGTCATAAAGACCTATACAATATCGCAAGAAGCCATTTTATTATACATGTGGTCTAAATTGCTATATTATGAAATTGTGACTACAATCATGACGTTGATTAACAATATAATTACACTGGAATGAACGCTTGGTAGCGACGAAATTAAAAAAACACTCCGCTTGAACATTATGCCTATAAGTGATGTATGTGAACTGCTATAGAATTACCAGGTATTATTGATAAGTATATTAATTATATAAATTGACGTGTCTTTGCAATATTAATCTTTCAAAAAGTCCAAGTCTCTTGTAAACGCAACAAAAGATTGTATAATAATATTCAATTTTTTTTAAAAAATCTTTGCATATGTGACATAAGCATAAGGTTTTTTGATAATGTTTTAGTTCTTAGTATTCATGTTGGACATAACTTGTGTCTAACCAGATGAATAACAATTCATCTTCACTTCACGTCAACAGAGATGTCACTGTTATTAAACTGTCAAATACCAAGCGGTCACCGGTGACCGCAACCTATTGTTCTATAATTGTGTCTACAAAACCGGTACCCGACGAGTTAATTTAACGTTATGAAACAAATAACTGGGGAACCGCGGCGATTTTTAACAATAAACTGAATACAAGCGGCCGCACTTGCGACTTTGTCCCGCGCTTGATTCTTATGTAATGAAATTGTGAGGTTACACACCACCGCGGTTCCACTAAAGCGCAGTCAGGACCTACCTCTCTTCAACTTCTATGCACAATGTACTTCTAGGTAACTGAATTAGAAAAGACAATTACCTAGTATTTTGAAAATTCAAAGACACGCCACTGTAGACTCTCGAAGACAGAATAAACGTAAACATATCAATAATATGTACAACACAATTGTATGAGTAAAACGAAGAAGCTTAGTTATTATATTTATTAGATATACATATATAGTCTTATCAAATAAGTACCATTATTGAATATCGACCCTTTTTATGTTAGGTCGTAAGACCAGACAAATGTAATAATAATAATTATAGTGAGGTTTAATCAGAATTATAGGGTGAACTATTCAAATAGGTGGAATGGCATATTCGATAATACATACAACATAATCCCTCAGGGGGTAGATAGAGGTACATACAATGTTATGCGTCCCATGTAATAGGAGGTGAGCCTATTGTGTAATATAAATCAAGTTATTGATTATTATGTATCGAATACTTCTCATACATTAACATTAAGGTTAAGTAAGTAATGTCTAACGGCCAAAGGGTTTTTATTTTCTTAAGGATTTTAATATTATCATATCGTCATTAATATAAGAAAATTTGATGTTCAATTTAGCTGTCAACGTTTCCTTTAGCGGAATATTGTGTCTACTAACCAAGAAATATCGATTTCAAAATTGAAAAGCATTTTCACATAACGAATATGACCATCCACATTTGAAGAATCCACTCCTCTATACATATAAAAATTATATATTAAACATACTATTATGTACTCAAGTGAGGTATATTATATTCGACAGAACATATACCATAGTCTTATTAAACGTACTGGCCAAACAATGGAATATTTAGTCAAATTGCATACAATGTGCAGGCGCATCAAGCAACCTTAAGGCAGGGCGCAAACGTAGACACTTTTGAGTCAGAGCACGAATTTGTTGATAGCGTGATAGACTCGTTTATGACGTTCGACGCTCAGAGTGCCAAGCACGAATAACTATCGCATTAGTAACGTAATAGTATCGAGCGCGTTCGGCGCTCTGATTGGCCGGGTCCAGTGAACCAACCAATCATAGCGCCCGATCGATCTCGATCAAGCGCTCGATCCTATTACATTACGAATTCGATAGTCATTCGTGCTTGGCCAGCTCAAAAGAACCAACCAAGGCTAAACGCTGTAACGTTCCGATCACGTCAAACTTAAAACAAATTCGTCCTAAAGCACTTAAGCCCTCTCAAGTCAGATACAAGTTACCGATGAATGTTAGATTTCTATAAAACCAGTATGAAATCATCCGCTCCCAGCGCATACAAGTGTTCAGTTGCTTGCACTTTACTCATCAAAAAGTATTCGGTATTTGTAACTAGAAACGAAGTGTCTACGTTTGCGCAGAGCCTAGTCCGTCAAATAGATTTTCAACTCTACAGTTTTGTAATAAAGTTCTAAAGCCAATGTAAAAAAATACATTTTGGTGTGCGTGAAGAGTCAATTGAGATAGATACTCAACTCGAACTCGACTTATTATATACCCGTCTCTTTCTTGCATATAAAACAAAGGGATTGACAGAAAACCTATGTATATGAATGAGATAATCATTGTAGTAATAATTAAAATGATATTTTCGTAAAGGAATCAAACTGTTATTAAAATAAATCTTAAACACGAAACATAAGGCCGAAAATTGTATGAAAGTTCTGATGAAAGGTCGACTTTCGTAAACTAGTACACTGTTGTAATTACACGCGACTTTCGACATTATTTACAAAGACTAACTTGTAATTTTATTGCTTTTTGAGTAGCATGCTTCTGAAGTCGCTGTTGCTGAGTGGTCGCTTCTCGTCTGCGTTGCTATGGCTACCATTTGTGGACGTGGCAGTGCTGGTGGAAGGTTGTGGTTGCGATGTACTCGCCGTGGCCTTCTGTAGCACGCTCGGGATGAAACTGCTGAGCTGCGTTCGTCGCCTGGAAAGATATTAGTATTTTAGTGACTACGCAACTGATGAAATGATCGTAAGCGCAACTGCTGAAGATAAATGCAATAGTCGAACGTATATATTGTACGGTGTCCACCCTTTAACTATAGATGGAATAACGATATCCGCTTTGAGGCTGACAGTGGCTGGATGTGATCTAGTTCAGTGGCGTGCTAGCGGTAAGTCTATATTCAGTAGTAGACAGAAATGAATTGATTTTTACAGCAAAGCAGCAAACAGGTCGTTTGGTGGCAAGAGATTAATACGGCCCGTGGTGGACATTCAAAGGAGTAGGTTTTCGAAGGTTATTTTGTTGATATAACACAAAAATAATGTATACATACATGCCACCCCCCGCGTCCCGCTTTGCTTGTCCCAGTGCCGGGCCATCACCGGCCGCGGACCCTGACTGTCGCGGCGGAGGCGCGCTGAAGGCCACGTCCAGCTTCCTGTCTCCCAGCATCATTCCATTCACCTTCGACACAGCTTCAGCAGCCGCTGCCTCGTCTTCATACTCTATGTATGCTAGACCCTTTGGTTTGCCGTCCCTGGAAACATAGACGATATTTTATACTCATTATTTTTAGCTATTTTTTCCGTTACTGGTGATGGATTGGTGGACACTAGACAATGTATATACATATGAACTAATCTGAAGTTTTGCATATAGGGTCCTTGGCGGAATGAAGTTCGTCAAATGTATGAGTACGGGATAATTTTCTCTCTCTCTCACTCGAAGTCGCGAATACAGTGCAAGTTAATATGCAATGGAAGGTTGAAGAAATTATTAATATATTCTAGATTAAAAGCTCGCATTATAATAGCACGGAGTTCCACACTCCACTAATAATATATTAATTATACATGTACGGTTATTTAGCTTGCATACAAAACTCGCATATTAACTATTTGGTTTCATACCTACATCTTTCAAAGTATACATGATATTAAGTAACCAAGTCGGTCGATGACTTCCCAAATAAAAAACAACGATGACTTACTTGTGCGTCACAACCCGTACATCCTTGAGCTTGCCGTACTTATCGAAGACTTCGGCGAGTGCATCCTTAGTGCAGTTCGCGAACGGAAGGTTCTTCACGAACAACTTGTTCTTTTCTTCTTCCGTCGAGTATTTGAACGTGGGTTTGGATTTCTTGGCTGTGTACCGCGAGAGGAACATCGGTCGCCCGTCCAGAGGGATCCTATCATGTTTTATAGCTTCGTCGACTGCTTCCTGTAATTTATGAATTAAAAGTGTTAAAGAGGACTGGCTGGACAAACCATTAATAATCCGAAATTATTGATGGTTTAAATAAGTAGATTATTTGGAAGCAAATAAAGTCGTGGCCTTGAAGGTCAAGAATACAATATAAAAGATATTTTCAAGCAGAAAGCACTCATTAAACCAGTTGCTAAATCCATAATGTGGTTACTGTCAACCACTTTTCGAAACTGTCAGTAAATATGACCCTCACAGTCTTTAAGTTACAAAAGCACTACTTATAGCTAATGATACTCACTGGAGTCTTATACTGACAATAGCAGATGGAGCCCCCGAACGCTTTGATCCCCTTCCGCACTCGCAGCGAGATGATATCCCCGTACTGTGACAGAATGTCGCGAAGCTTTTGTTCGTCCACTCTGAAATTAAAATGTATTATTATACGACCGGTTGATAGTAAGTTATCAGAGCAACACCAGAGGACATACAAGTACATTGCACATACGTTGCACACCTGTGGTAACGGGCTAATGTTTTTTTGGTGCACCAGATGGCGCAAATGTAGCAAAAGGTTTTTTGGTCCAATCACTCTGCAGTGATTAAAACAATTTCAAACTATGTAGTTACTTCCCTATTGGAAGAAAAACGAGTGTCACATTAGTGCCATCTCCTGTACAAATATACAGTACCATTGGGCTGGTAACTATGCGATCTCCAACCCTCTGTCTGCCAAACGCGAAGATCATAGCGAACTAATATTTTTATGTCTGGAAGACAGTCATGGGCTGTTTTTGACGATTACAATTTGTTTTGCTAATTTTAGTAAAAAATGTATGTAAGAAGCGTACTCCCATGGGAGACAGGCGTAAGGTTATATATGTATGAATGCTATAGCATATATATTGGACTTTTGTGACTTGATACAAGTGGCAAGTTGCATTTGCAGAGATTCTACAGGTGAAAGTAGGTACATACATAAAATAGTAATAAATAAAATATTTCTCAAAGTACCTACTAAAACACAGCAAAAATTGTAAAGTATCGACTCAGATACAATTGACATTGAGCGTCCTTCGATCGCTGTTGACGTGAATTTGAATTGACGTTATAAACAAAATAAAAGTTTTCATGCGAGGACAAAACTTACAGTCTAAAATACAAATGCAGTACTCAAATGTTATTTGGAGTGGTTTATTTTATTAGTCGATAATACGACACTTATATACATTTTATAAATATGTCAGGCGACTTTCACATTCCATTAATTAAAGTTAACACTAATCCTGAAAGTAATTTCACCCCTAAACCGTTTTGGTATACATCTTTGTCAAAATTTAGTAAATTACAATTTCACTTCTGACTATTATTATAAATGCAAAATTTTGTACAGGGGTAGATTCTGGAATAACCATAGACTAACTTTTATTACACAGGAACGCGGGCGAATCCGCGGGTAGAAGCTAGCAAAAACATAAATGACTCAATAGAAAAATCATCCAAACTTAATTAACTTATTAAAAATGTTATCAGGGTCACGTTGGGATATCCATCCATCTTTATTTACAAATATTATATGATATTATTTAGACGAACAGCTTTTTATATGGTAACAGTAATATAATACAAATAGACAAGTTAGATAAGATACAAAATCTATGTTTACGAATAAAAAGGTAGATTATAAAAACCACACCGATACACGACACTGAATGAGAGTTACATCTACCTCCTTTAGGTGTGCGTTGTTCTATCTTATAGGTACTGTTTAAAAGCAAAATCCTTTTCTAATAACTAATACACAGTTGATCCACACTCTGAATGAATGTTATCTATTGAAAACAATTCAAGCCTAAACCGGTTTTAATAAAGCATTTACAACTATTTACTAAATATACTTCTGCAAGTCAATAATATCACTTAGATATGTAGACTGCCTCGTTGACCGAGTGGTCGCAAGTGCGACTTCCGGGCAAGGGGTATCGGGTGGATTTCCGGGTCGGGCAAAGTATTATTGGGTTTTAAAAAAAACTCAGTAGTAGCACGGAGTCTGGAATTGTGCCCGGTATACTTACGGCAATAGGCTCATTCCTATTACATGGGACTCATAACATAATGAAAAGTGGGTGTTAGAGAGCGTCCATAAATTACGTGAGGTGTTTTTTTTAATTGTCTGTCCCTCCCTCCCCCCTTGGTGAGATTTCGTGAGATTTTATTCAACACCCTCCCCCATCCCCCAATCTCACGTGAGATTTATCAAAATGTTGGTTTTTCACGTAATCGCGTTGGATTGTTATTGCAAAAAGAAAAAAATCCATGTGCATGTACATATGCCGTAATGTGCACCTCTGCCTACGCCTTCGGAGATAAAAGGCGTGATGTTATGTTATGTTAGATATTGTTTAACTGAATGTGAGTTTGACAAATGTTATTAAAAAAGATATTGTTTGACATTGTTATACCTAATGAATTATTCTCACTTCCTGGAAGTATAATGTGGGCGGATTGGCAATATTTGAACCCACAGACGAGTCGTGCAAATATTTATTCACTCAAATATCTCTATTATAATATCTGTAGAATAGGGATGATGACAGCGTATGACATTGCAAATCTATTTAGTCCGTCAGTTAAACTGTCAAACACCAAGCGGTCACCGGTGACCGCAACCTATTGTTCTATAATTGTGTCTACAAAACCGGTACTCGACGAGTTAAGTAATGAAAAATATTAGACACATTAGTTTTTATTTTGTATAAGAAAACAATCCTTTATAAACCGTATCAAAGTTTACGAATGGGAGCTAACTATATTTTTAGTAGGTACCTATAAAACGTACCCAGAAGTAACGACACGCGATATTTCGAATCAATATATTGTCGAAATAGTGTTTCCGTAAGAAAATAAAAAATACTCTCTTAATAATGTCTTAAAATAATCTACCAGCATAAAAATTATCCATCTACCCTTTTGTTAAAAATTTCATTATAAAGTTCATTTCAACCTACCTACCATATGTGATTTTAGCAGATTCTAAAAGTGCCATCCACCATTTAGATGCACATAGAACTATCGAGACAAACTGATATCTTACCTTGCAGCATCTTAGAATCAATTCGCCGTTTAAAAGCAAATGATTACAAAATAGTACTTCAATGGATTCCGTCGCATATCACATTGGTTGGAGATGAACTTAAGTTTACTTTTTGTTTTAAACATTTTATTTCTTTGTAAAATTATTGTATTACCGAGACAGAACCATTTATTTCGGAACGATTACGGTATTTTCACGGTGTATATAAAATATTCTTGGGAAAAAAGAATCGATTATCTTTATTAGAAATGAATGCAAAGTTAAAATAATGGTTTTATTTGTTTATTAAATGTTACTTAATAACTATCATTACAATTTTGCTTTTTTTTTTCTCTCTCTCTCTTCTAATGCTATCTATCTTTCTGATATTCAGGATTATTTTTAGTAGTCTGTGTAAGTAGCATGGGAGACATATGTCCAGCGACAGACTCTCATAATTTATTGTTTAGCGTAGGTCCTGTGGTACTCGTAATTTTAGTCTGCGAACTCCTGGGAATATCTTTCCATCCATAAGATGTTGCGCGAGTATGTTTGGGTGTTTTCTTAATCTTTCCTTGTAACTTTTTGCTTTAATTTTGATTTCCTCCTTCACAGTTTTGATGCCAAGTTCGCGGTGAAGTCTCTCATTGGTGACATGCCATGGTGCATCTACTATTATTCTCAATATTTTTGATTGAAATCTTTGCAGAATTTCCAGGTTGGGCGCTGAACCCCACAGCTCCATGCCATATGACCACACAGACTTTATGATGCATTTATACAATAGAATTTTATTCTCCATTGAGAGTTGACTTTTCCTATTCATTATACAGTACATCTTGCGAATTTTACTTAATACTAAATCTATTTACAAAAAAATAAAACAAACAGAATTATTAAATGCAAAACCATACTAAATCTAACATACATATGAAAAATACTAAAATAAGTCCTAAGCTTATAAAATTAAAATTATTAAATTAAAACATATAACAAAACATTTTGAAAAAGTATTTTAAGGACCCTGTTTTACCTCATTCACTTGTACCAAATATTTTTTTATTTGTATCTTTTTTGTAAAAAGGATAAACATTATTCTATTCTATTTAACAAAATACAATTCAAAACGGGTTATTGTTGTTGTGATCAGGTTCATTGTTATTATTTAGGAAGTCCCATTCTTCGCTGTCTGGGGGTGTAGCTATCATCTCGAGCCAGGTTCTTTTTAAAGTAAAAGTATCACGCTGAAAACAACATAAAACCATTTATAAGTAATTGTATTCAATATATACATATTTGTATGATTAAAAAATGTTACGAATGGGTAAGAAAACCTTAAAACAACTAGATACTATTCACTAATCTATGTGTACCTTCAAACAAGTTGACAATGTTAATCGGTTTTAGAGCGCCTTCACACTAGAGTTTGTCCAGCTTAGGCGTTTGATGAACGTATGTGCCGCGCAGGCGTCGCGTTGTCGCAACGTCAGTGCAAGGGTAAATAAATACGCGGCGTAAGCGTAGCTGGAGAACCTAACGGGTTACCGGGGCTCCGGCTCGACGTGCAGGAGAAGGAACGGGATGGTTTTTAGTCAGTAAGAGTCTGACACTCCCTCCCGCCTCACCCTGGCGGGAACAGTCATTCGAAGATTTTCCCCCCATAAAAAAAGCGTAGCGATATCGAAATCCTACGCTGGACAAACGCTAGTGTGAAAGTGCTCTTAATAAGCTCTATTCCACCAATGCTATTGCAATGGAGGTAGTTGTGAAAAAATATGTAATCCATGCTTAATATGAGCGACATGGATTTACGATGTATCGTAATTATAACTTGTCGATTGTGCATACCTTTTACTAATTATAATTTAGAATTAAATAGTAATTATTCTTTGTGACATTAGAAAAATATCACAGTGAGGTAAAAAAGTATGCATGTCCACAATCAAAACTGTGAAAGATTAATAATTATTTGTAAGAACAATATTTTGTGTTTAGAAGAATACCACCATGTTAGAAGAGGCCTTCTGAGAGAAGGTATTTTTGGCATGGTGTAGTGGTGTAGTATGTGGTATAGTGGGTTAGTTATTTAGTGATTAAGGAAAGTGTCGTGGTGGCCCGGAGGTTTAACACGCCCGCTTCTCATGAATGAGGTTGCGGGTTCGAAACCTACCAAGAGCAAGTACCAATGTGACTTTTTCCGAGTTATATGTACTTTCTAAAAATATTTAGACACCACTGACAAGTGGTGAAGGAAAACATCGTGAGGAAACCTAAGCGCATTGAGCAAGCGTGGTGATTAATGTAATTAATAACCTTTTCCGTGTGAGAAGAGGTTTGATTTACTCACCTCCGAATTTCCAAGATGGTTAAATATGTGCGTTATTGCTCGCCACGAATTTTCCTTCGCAGCGCGAATAATATCGCTGTTGACTGGGCTCCACACAATAGGATATTGTCCTAAGAGTTGTGCGAGCATAAATTTTTCACCAACGGACAATTCCTAAATTGAAAAAAAAATAATATTTATGAATATTTAAAAACTGTCGCAAAATAATTAATGAAAAGTAAATTAAGAATATAAAAAAGCAAATTTTTGTATCCAATAATTTTAAGCTGTTTTTTTATAATTGTAAAGTAATAAATTGAATTCGTAACTGTACTTACCATAATAATAATGATATCGTGTCACAGTCAATATTTTCACGAAGATAAAGTCAGGGTACCGAAGTCGTCTGAGAACGAAATGAAACTAACCACCATTTTACTTCACAGTACACTGTTAGTCAACGACTAATATAAATAACTGTAAATGATAGTGTTACCATTTGCGAAAAAATTAACATACTTTGTTTTTAAATATATTATTTACTTTTTATAACAACACGCAACTGTAATTAATAATGAAAAACTATTAACAAATATGTTTATATTTTATTATAATTTGCCGTATTAATAATTTATAGTGTTTAAACAAAATTGATACCTTTATTTTTATTATTTATAAGTATGGCAACACAATAACGGAATCGGGAAAAGCTCAAAGCTCAACATAGATGTCGCTACCATTGCCTTCGCTTTATTGTGTTAGGTTAGGTTATGTTGCGCGTGGTGTTATTTATTTACTCAGTTTTTTTTAATACATAACAATATATGAAACATTTATCCTTTTTTGGTACTGAAAGAAGACTTACGTCGGATAAATGCTTTAACAGCAAGGAAAACCCTGTTATACTTAAGAAGTAATGAAAGTAACCAATAAATAAATTGTTAAGAAATTCATTTTCTTTTCGAATCTGTTTTACACGATAGCTCTTGACGTTCAAACTAGGAGCATCGGACGCCGTAATTACAATTCCAATGCCAATCCAGGATTTAGAACATATCTATAAAATTGAATCACGATATCAGTGCCTACCGATTTCTTTATTCAAGAAGGACTGGGACGCTAATAGTCTGCTACATATTTATTAATTAATTTATTTGAACTTTTTAAGAACATAAAATAAAACATGGTGGTATTTAATAATAAAAAACGATTGTATCAAATGGCATTCAGATGCCGTTTGATACATTGATGCATTTTTTTTTTGTGATCATCAGTCACACATAAACCTTTTCTATCATATTAATCTTTGCACAATCTATCCATTCATTTTCTTCCTTTCGCATTCAAACTCATTACAGCAGATATAAAGCAAGTAATACTTATAAAAAATTTAAGTTTAAAAATAAAGAAGATAATATGAATAAATGAATAATACGTGGCATGTAGATTCAGTATTCAGACCAATAAATACTGTTCGCGCCCATACGGCCTGTATGGTGCGAACCGACGCTGGGCTACATTGATGCTGGCCGGTTACACTCATTGTTCTTTTATTTTGGCCAAACAATTTTTTTTTAATACTTTTTATTGAGACTCCCCAATCATTGAACCAATGACCGCATAGCTAAGGGCCTCGACCAATACCTGAGTAGGCTAACGTTAGATGGTTGGGTTAAGGGTCTGATGCCGAAAGCACTACTTCTGGACATGGCGCTTATCGTCCGGAAATTTCTCTCTTTGGAACCATACAATTCTCGTCGACTTTGTATATTTCTATTATTTTTTAAAAAGAACCGAAATTTTACAAAAATATAGAGATAATATTGCTTACTTGAATTCGAGGTTGCTGATGAAGAGCGTACAGGCATCTCTCGTGCCGAGTCTATGCGGGCTCGAGCTGTTTGTACGTTGTCGCTTACTCTCACCAACTAGTAAGAAAACATATTGATTCATTATGTGGATTATAACAGATTACCATTGACATTAAACCAGTAAAAGGCTGCTAAGGCTGACATAATGGTACTAATGATAACAAACAACTTTCTCAAAGAATTTCACGGGCGGTTTCACCCACTCAGCTCGGCTCCAGTCAGTCGTAGCGTGATGTTTTATAGCCTATAGCCTTCTTCGATAAATAGACTATATAATACAAATACAGATTTAATGAAATCAAACCAGTGGTTCCGGATATAACAACTCAATTAAATATCACAAAAAATTTAAAATACTATTCCATTTAATATGCTAAAGAGTTGTTGTTGAAGAGGTTTTGCAAACTATTGTGTGCAACACCATGACACATTTTTAGGGTTAATGAGTTATGCTTTTAGCAATTTAATTTAGAAATAAATAATATAAACCTAAAAAAAAGAACTCACAAATGCTGTTATTGCTTAGATGTCTCTTACTCATTAGACATTACCTATATAAGTCACGGTGTATGCCACTCACCTTCCTCATCTCCTTCCTCATGAGTCCGCTTCACTCCATTATCTTCTTTACTCTCCTCCTTCTCATCCACATCCACTTCCATCTTCTCCTCCTTCTTCCGTTTCGTCTGACCCCCACCGTCCCCTCCATCCAACTTCCTTTTACCTTTTTTTGGACCTCCTTTAATTATCTTGTCAGTCATCGGCTTCTTTGATGCTTTCGAGTTTCCATCCGAGCCTTTCTTCCCCAGCATTGTGTTTCTCATTTCCTCATATTCTCCGTGCCAATCCTTGAGTCTTCGCTGTGAATATTAAAATAATGTTTTAAGATTTGTATGGTATATAAGAAGCTAATTTCAGATGGGACTTCTATGAGCCAATAGCAATTTAGAAAAATATTCGAAGAACATAAACTTTGATAACACTAATTGAGACAATAGAAATTAAGAAAGTTTGGTGTGTTTAAATTGGAGCGGACCAAGATAGATTCTTTGATTACGTAATAACAATATACTCTAACAATATATATTATGTGACCAAAGCCATTGTAACAGAAAGATAGATTATAGCATAATATATATATAAATAAAAATGAAATTCCGTTCGTTAGTCTCGCTAAAACTCGGGAACGGCTGAATCTATTCGGTTAAGTTACGTCTGGCAATCTTCGTGGAAGTCCAGGGAAGGTTTAAAAGAAGAGACAAAAAATTTACGCAGTACGAAGTTTGCCGGGTCAGCTAGTAAAGTTTACGATTTATTATTTACTGCCTAAATTCTTTTTGTCTTTCCTACACTGTACAACAATGTGCATGTAGCTTAAATAATCAAGCTTACCTGACAAATTTCCTTGCACTCTTGCAAAGTCTCAATAGTTCCATAATCTCTCTCAAACGCGGTCCACATCCTAATGATGACGGGCGGAAAGTCCAGTACGTTTTTAAGAGCCCGTTTCATTAAATCACGAAGTTTCTGGTCCGAAGGTCGCGGCTTCCTATCAAATTCCAATGCTAACAGCACTTCCCAGAACTTCGATACTGTTTTGTTATCGCCGATATCTGTTTTGAGAGGGTTTTCTTTAATAGGCAAACCTGTTTTAAACTTAATTATATTAGAATAAGCATAGCATAGTCAGGGTGCGGAGATAGTCTTGTCGACCATATCGTCTCCCGTAGAATGAAATAAGCAGGTTAGTGCGTGTTAGAATATAAAAAATTGGTTAGTTGTGTTAATTTAACAAAATATAATTTACATTCATCTGCATTTAGGTTACATAGCATGCCATTTAACTCGTCGAGTACCGGTTTTGTAGACACAATTATAGAACAATCGGTTTCGGTCACCGGTGACCGCTTGGTGTTTGACAGTTTAAGTCACCAACAGATGTAGTTGTTTTTACATCTTTCTGAAGTACAGGTTTCGAACAAATTGTCGTACAATTCTACAATTAATAGAATCCAGTGACTCAACTATTTTATGTTAACAAGTCTTGTATTGTTATTATCAAGTATTTAATATACTCGTAATTTATTATTGTAAATGCACAGAGTACATAAATAGACTGATCAATAAAGGAAGACTACGAAAATAAGACAAGCAAATGGAAGACAGGAACATTTGTCCCACTACTTTCTCTTAGCAGATAAAAGCTCACCCAAATATATATGTAAGTACGTATTATATGTGCATAATGTACTAAATTTGCATACCATAATATGTTTATTGTAACATCAGATGTTATTTATGAGTATTTATTCGTTTGTACTCGAATATTTTAATGCCTATGTCCACACCCAGAGCTAGAACACCAATTTGTAGATCACACAGGGACCTGTGTGCAGGGGAGGATTAAACCTAGTGAGCGCCCTAAGCAAGGACATCAAAGGTGCATCTAATTGGGTACTTGCTAACTAGTCAAATTCAATACTTTTTTCGAATTGTACAAAACGACAGTTTTCAAGATTGTGTATTGTGACGTCACGTTTTTTAAAAGTGAAACAGCATACTTATTTATTAAAAATTTGCTGAAAAAATACTATTATTAGAGAAGTCATAAAATCAATTAATAAAAGTGTGACTATTTTTTAATATATTATTGTATTTAACAGTCGAAATAATTTATTTTTATATAAGGAATGTACCCATTTCTTTCTGGCGCCCCCGCTATGCTGTGGGCAGTTGATTACACGCGTCTTACGGCGCCCCTGTATAATCTGGCGCCCTATGCACTACCCTAGTATGCCTACGGGATAATACAGCTCTGGCTGTGTGAGCTACAAATTCTTGTTCCGTCAATTTCGTGCAATCAAAAGTATCTAATATAAGTGATAACTTACTGAGTATTTCTTCAAAGATCATTCGGCCTTGCTTTGGATCGTTTAGCATCTTATATTCAAGTCGTGCCCAAAATATTGGAACCTCACTGTCGTCCGCTGCTTCGCTATACGTCTAAAATAATATGAATAGCATTCATTTTATGTCGGACACAACTCCAGATACCTCAATAATACTTTGCTTGACAGGGTAACTAAATCTGGGAGCCTTGCTCGACAGTCGTAAATTCGACTAATTAAGTAGTTTTTATAACTTTCTTTTTCTATACTAAATCAATCTTGGGGAGCCATGTTTCCGCATGAATAGGCCGACCGGAGTGACACCACTGCCTCAGAGAGACCCAGCTCAAAACAATCAAAGCGTTTTGTATCACCGTGCGAGTGAGGTTAGCGGAGGCCCTATTACCCTCCCCCCCATCCTGGTTTCCCCGGCAACGCACTTGTCCTTTTCTTGTGTTACTGACGGCGCCGGTTGTTTACCATCAGATAATCGATATGATCGTTTACCAGGCTATCCCATAAAAAAATGATAAAATAACGATGAATTAATAATTTAAAAGTATACATACCTCCGCCAACGTATCCCAAGCGAGTCTAAATGTTCTCCGCAGTCTGTCTACATCCTTTTCATTGTTAAAATCGGAGATGCGACGTAGATATTCCAGGTAGCTTAACCATAACTCCTCGCTCTGACTGAACGAACTCATTCCTTTCGCTAAAGCCATCTCGAATATAGTCTTTATCTGTAAACATTTTAATCAATTCTTTACTAATTTCATAGTTAAAAAAACTAAAAACACGCGCTATTTATCATATGGCCTCGTCATCAAGAGAAATGGGCGTGTCTAATGAGCTCAAACTCGATATTATATAGCCGAAGGTTCCATTAGTCACCTTCTAAATCCATCACCAGGCTAGCTCAATAGTCCTATGGTCTCCTAATTAACATGTAATTCCGAGTTCCCATTGCTATACAACAATAAGAAGTATGTAAGTATAATTGGTAATAATATATACTATATATAATAAACTGCACGGTTGGTGCGGTGGTGGGCAACCGGCTGCCGTGCAACGTGTCGCGGGTTCGATTCCCGCACGGAACAACACTTTGTGTGATCCACAAATTGTTGTTCCGGGTCTGGGTGTCATGTGTATGTGAACTTGTATGTTTGTAAACGCACCCACGACACAGGAGAAAATCCTAATGTGGGGCAACGTTTTAAAAAAACACTTCATATGCCTAGACATTTTTCAATCGCATCCAAATAAATTATCGAATGAAATTAATGCATTTTTCTTTGTTTTCTAATTTTAGAAACCAATTTCAATCCAATATCTGTGAATTAAGATCGATTTTTAACAGAAACTATATAACTTTAGATTTTTTTGTGTTTTAGATTTTTATTGAATTTGTGTTTTAGATTTTTATTGAATTTGCTGTATTATAATTTTACTGCAATTTCGTATCTTATAATTGAACCACTCACTAAGTAAAACATATTTAAAGTATCTCAACTCCAGTCCCAATATACAGGATAATCCTAGTTTGGGAACTAGTGGTATACTTAGCGTTAAACCTAAGATAAACAAACTGTGATAATGTGATTGTGATATGTATTAGATCTGTAAGCATATGAATTGATATAGGTTATTAAAATTGGCAGTTAGGATTGAAGTGGCTAACCTGTTCAAAGCTCTCTCCATCCTTCTCAGCCTGTTGCATGGTAAGTTCCCAGGGCAGGGCCCGCGTGGGCGCGCGGCGCCGCAGCGAGGCCAGCACGCGCACGTACGTGGCGCGGGACGAGCGCGCGCGGACGTGAGACGCGAACCCCATGAACAACTGGGAACCCTCTGATCCACACTCTGTTGTCGCACGATCGTATACCACCTAGTACAAACATATCAACTACTGATAAGTATACTTTTTTTAAGGGGAAAAATCATCGAATGGCTTCTCCCGCGCGGGTGAGGCGAGAGGAAGTGTCAGACTCTTACTGACTAAAACCACCCCGTTCCTACTCTTGTACTTCGAACCGGAGCCCCGGCAACTCGTTAAATCTTACTGGGCCTCATCAGTGGTGTATTTAAGTATACTAGCTACTCCCTTGGCGTGGTTTCATCCGCGTCCGCGCACCTATTGCTCATAGCGTGATGTTTTATAGAATAAAGTCTTTATCGGTAAATGGACTATTCAATGCAAAAATGATAATTCAATTTGTACCCGCAGTTCAGGAGATTGACGAGTTCAGACAAACAAGCTTTTCAGCTAAATGTATGATATTAGTATTATAGTATTATTAGTATAAGAGTCTTTTTTAGAAATTTTCAAGCTTGCACTGTAACATTTCTTTTATATCGTCACTACTTTTATGCTTAGAAGATTATTAGAAGA